GGGATGTAGCTCAGTTGATAGAGCATGGCGTTTGCAACGCCAGGGTTGTGGGTTCGATTCCCACGGGGGGGCAGTATAAAAATAATATGTATTCACTATATGTAAGTCGCTCTGGATAAGAGTGTCTGCTAAATGACTAAAATGTAAATGTAAATGTAATTGGTTTCTCTCTCTCTCCAAGAGGGGAATGTTTAAGTTGATGTTTATATTGATGCTGTGTTTATAGCCCTTTATGGACATGTGATAAGTATAATGCCATTTGCCATTTATTCATGTACATACAGTGCATTTGGAAAGTATTCAGACCCCTTGACTTTTTCCACATTTTGTTATGTTACAGCCTTATTCTAAAATTGATTAAATAGTTTTTTCCCCTCATCAATCTACACACAACACCCCATAATGACAAAGCAAAAACATGTTTTTAGAAATTCTTGCTAATTTACAATTAAAAACCCCAGAAATATTACATTTACATAAGTATTCAGACCCTTTACTCAGTACTTTGTTGAAGCACCTTTGGCAGCGACTACAGCCTTGAGTCTTCTTGGCTATGACGCTACAAGCTTGGCACACCTGTATTTGGGGAGTTTCTCCCATTCTTCTCTGCAGATCCTCTCAAGCTCTGTCAGGTTGGATGGGGAGCGTTGCTGCACAGCTATTTTCAGGTCTCTCCAGAGATGTTCGATAGGGTTCAAGTCTGGGCTCTGGCTGGGCCACTCAACGACATTCAGAGACTTGTCCCGAAGCCACTCCTGCGTTGTCTTGGCTGTGTGCTTAGGGTCGTTGTCACGATTTCCGCCGAGGCTGCCTCCCCTCCTTGTTCGGGCAGGTTTCGGCGTTCGTCGTCACCGACTTACTAGCTACTGCCGATCCCATTCTCATCACTTCACTTGTCATGTCTTGTCTTGTCAATCACACACACCTGGTGCTCATTCCCCTAATTAGTATGGATATAAGTGTTCCCTCTGTTCCCCTTGTCTTTGTGAGTGATTGTTTCTTTGTGAGAGCGAGTAGCTCAGTTGAGAAATGTTTTGGTACCCTTCCCCAGATCTGTGCCTCGACACAATCCTGTCTCGGAGCTCTACGGACAATTCCTTCTACCTCATGGCTTGGTTTTTGCTGTGACATGCACTGTCAACTGTGGGACCTTTTTATAGACAGTTGTGTGCCTTTCCAAATCATGTCCAATTAATTGAATTTACCATAGGTGGACTCCAATCAAGTTGTAAAAACATCTCAAGGATGATCAATGGAAACAGGATGCACATGAGCTCAATTTCGAGTCTGATAGCAAAGGGTCTAAATACTTATGTAAATAAGGTATTTCAGTTTTTTTTATTTTTAATACATTTGCTAAAATTTTCGCTTTGTCATTATGGGGTATTGTGTGTAGATAGCTGAGTTTTTTAAATTGTATTTAATCCATTTTAGAATAAGGCTATAACGTAACAAAATTAGGAAAAAGTCAAGGGGTCTGAATACTGGGTCTGAATACTTTCCAAAGGCACTGTATATATGTATATTGCATAGTTATAACCCTTAAATAATACTGTTTACATGTGTGCAGATCTTTGTTTTATAGAACCACAACAATAAGATTCCAAATCATTCGGATTACCAAAATCATACAAACATCTTCAAAGGAAACAGCTGTGTCTGTGTGTGTGTGTGGTGGTGACTATCAAGAGTACAGTGATGGGCCTCAACATCATGTTCTAACAGTAAAGCACTATAGAGGACAGAACCAAACCAATCAGTTATAAGTATATAGTGGGTGAGGGCATTCACAGCCGACCGCTCAGATGGGTGAGGGCATACCAGCCAACCGTTTTCACGTAGTCCTTCTAGTCGGATTTAGTGACCAACAGTTTTTTACATGGTCCGTCATTTCTCCGGATTTAGCGACCACTAGTTTTTACAGCGTGTGTGTTTTCCTACATCCATTTCAATTCTGACATAATGTAGGCCTAATGATGCTTAAAATAGGGTTCCATATCAATGATTTCACATAGGCCAATCAATACAAAAGGTTATAACAACACAATACTAAATGTGAAAACAAAATATTGAAAAAGCCATGGATGTCTTGGTGCTATTGAATAGCCTACATAATAAAATAGCTTATAACTCACCTGGAAATCAAAGATCTTAACGGTATGAACTTGTTATATTCTAGTGAGATGGTTTCCTTGGAGTTCTCCTAGAAATGGTATAATTTGCTTTTTTTTATGTCTGATCTTCTGGGTTGATGTATCGAGGCAGTCAGAGCTCATTCCCCTGACTAATGATGGCGTAAATGCAACCTGCCTTTTCCCTGGTAGCGCGTCTGTCACTCTCCCTTTGATACAGCAAGGGCATGGAAATTTTCCACTGTCGACTCCACGTCTTTAAATAGCTAATCCCCCAGCGCGTGGCCACAACACAAAACACGCCTCCACTGACCCCGCCCATGCATTTACTGTGTGTGTGTGTGTGTGTGTGTGTGTGTTGGCAACTTGGCATGGCAGTTAATACATTTCCAGTTAATTGTTGCTATGTGCCCTTACAGTGTTGGGGTATGGAAAGCCGTTTTAACATATATTCATTGAATATTTGATATCAATAATTGTATTTGTTATACCAATACTTGCATTTTCGATATCAATAATTCGAATTTTTGATATTCGTTATTCTTGCCTTCTTCACCCATATTTTATTTTATTTGAGCAAAAACGTCATGTGTAGTTCCAGTAGGCCTAGTTAGCTACACCACTACATGGCAAAAATGTAATTCACTACTGAAAACACTACCAAGATTTTAGTTTAGTTCTACTACCAACAACAAGCTACTGCAAAATGTAGTTAAAAATTGAACTACATGAGGTTCACTACTCCCCAACACTGTTCCCTTATTAACTGTTAAACAAGGACTACTACTCTACTCAGCAAATTGGATGTAGTCTATCACAGTGCCATCCGTTTTGTCACCAAAGCCCCATATACTACCCACCACTGTGACCTGTACTCTCTTGTTGGCTGGTCCTCACTACATATTCGTCGCCAAACCCACTGGCTCCAGGTCATCTATAAATCACTGCTAGGCAAATCCCCACCTTATCTTAGCTCATTGGTCACCATAGCAACACCCACCCGTAGAATGCGCTCCAGCAGGTATATCTCACTGGTCATCCCCAAAGCCAACACCTCCTTTGGCCGCTGTTCCTTCCAGTTCTCTGCTGCCAATGACTGGAACGAACTGCAAAAATCTCTGAAGCTGGAGACTCTTATCTCCCTCACTAACTTTAAGCATCAGTTGTCTGTCACGATCGTCGTAGGGAATAAACCAAGGCGCAGCGTGATGAACGAACATGGTTAACTTTATTATCTTTAGTGATAATAGACAACAATAAACAAAACAAGAAACGACTCGTGAAGTCCACGGTAATAATGACCAACATGGAACAAAAACCCACAAACACAAAGGGAAAACAGACAGTTTAAATATGGCTCCCAATCAGAGACAACCAACGACAGCTGACACTCGTTGCCTCTGATTGGGAGTCACTCTAGCCAACATAGAAATAAACACAACAGAACTACCAACATAGAAATCTAACACATAGAATGAACACACCCTGGCTCAACATATAGAGTCCCAGAGCCAGGGTGTGACATTGTCAGAGCACCTTACCGATCACAGCACCTGTACACAGCCCATCTGAAATTAGCCCACCCAACTACCTCATCCCGATATTGTTATTAATTTTGCTCATTTGCACCCCAGTATCTCTATTTGCACATCATCTCTTGCACATCTATCATTCCAGTGTTAATACTAAATTGTAATTATTTTGCACTATGGCCTATTTATTGCCTTACCTCCATAACTTGCTACATTTGCACACACTGTGTGTATATATATATTTTCTGTTGTATTTTTGACTTTATGTTTTGTTTACCCCATATGTTACTCTGTGTTGTTGTTGTTTTTTATCGCACCGCTTTGCTTTATCTTGGCCAGGTCGCAGTTGTAAATGAGAACTTGTTCTCAACTGGCTTACCTGGTTAAATAAAGGTGAAAAAAAAATAAAAAAAAAAATAATAATAATATTAAAAGTATTTGCAATTACATTACAACAGCTGCTATTCACAGGTCATGATTATAAACATGACAGAAGTTAATTGTTTTACCCTACATTAAATGTTTTAATTAGCAAGTTACTCATGTATTTATTACTGTATGACAACTGTTTTTGTATCCACAATAAGTTGTCAACAGTTTTCTACGAATGTCATCATTCTATCCAAGCCAGACAAGTGAAGAGAAGCAAACCCTTACAGTTACTGAGTGAAGTTATGTTATAAAAGCATTTTGATTGATTCTGTATAACATATTTCTATGATGTACTTACTTGGAATGAATATGTCATTAAAACTTGGATTAAAGAGTCTACATTTGACAGCTGCCATATGGCATCAGAGAGATAGTAGCCTTGGTAACCCACAGTTTTGTGAGGTGATGTAATGGTAGTGGGAATCTTGTGCTCCACTAGAGGGAGATGTTGTCAGTCGACAACAGAAACTGATTCACTTGTAGTTATTTCTACACGACAAAACACCTTTTCTGACATAATGGAAATATTTTATTCTAAACAAACATAATGTAATAATAGTACAGGATGATTGAATATAAAAAACAAACATAATAATGTGATAAATAATTATAGTATATTTACAGTGATATTTGATAGTACTTCATGTAGCATGCTTCTGTTTTTAGAGCTTCATCTTTGCTCTCTGTAATCTACGAACCAGTGTATTGTAATATCCACCTCCACACCACCCCCACCCCAAGACTCATAGACATATTTTAACTGTGTTCATAAACATCATCTCCACGAGTCCACACCTCAACTTTCCCTACTACCCTCATGCCCTGTTTTCTCCCTTCCTTCACATTCCTTCCCTCCTTGCTCAAGGTAGAAGTTGCCCCTATCTACAGATCTAGGATCAGATTACTTGACCCCCAATCCTAACCTTAACCTTAAGGGGGAAGAAAATGTTATCTGACCCTGCATCAGTGGTTATGGTCAACATATACCTCCCCTCACACCCACACGCTGCCTTTGCCCTCCCCCTCTGAGGCCCCCTGCTGGCTGCAGCAGCCCCCTCCACGGTGGCGCGAAGGTTCTTGTAGACGGCCCTGCAGTAGGGGATGAAACAGAGGCCCAGTTGGAGGTGTTGGGCCAGGCGGCAGTAGGCAGTCAAAGCCAGGACCAGGAGGGGGGTGACCAGGATGAAGCCCACCACCAGCAGTGCCACACAGCCACCGTCATCCAGCAGGTCTGAACAGTACAGGGATGTGCCATTGGGTTGCACCTGGAGACGACAGGGAGGAGAGGGAGGAGAAATGGTTAATGGTGTGCAACCATCACAAACACACACACATTCAAACACACACACACACACACACACACACACACACACACACACACACACACACACACACACACACACACACACACACACACACACACACACACACACACACACACACACACACACACACACATATTAAAACTACTCATCATGTGTTACACAGCAATGCTCAGGTCATGAAAAATGTATGCACTCACTAACTGTAAGTCGCTCTGGATAAGAGCGTCTGCTAAATGACCAAAATGTAAAATGTAAAATGACTCATGCTCTCTCTCCCTGTACAGTGAGGGAAAAAAGTATTTGATCCCCTGCTGATTTTGTACTTTTGTCCACTGATAAAGAAATGATCAGTCTATAATTTTAATGGTAGGTTTATTTGAACAGTGAGAGACAGAATAACAACAAAAAAATCCAGAAAAACGCATGTCAAAAATGTTATAAATTTATTTGCATATTAATGAGGGAAATAAGTATTTGACCCCTCTGCAAAACATGACTTAGTCCTTGGTGGCAAAACCCTTGTTGGCAATCACAGAGGTCAGACGTTTCTTGTAGTTGGCCACCAGGTTTGCACACATCTCAGGAGGGATTTTGTCCCACTCCTCTTTGCAGTTCTTCTCCAAGTCATTAAGGTTTCGAGGCTGACGTTTGGCAACTCGAACCTTCAGCTCCCTCCACAGATTTTCTATACGATTAAGGTCTGGAGACTGGCTAGGCCACTCCAGGACCTTAATGTTCTTCTTCTTGAGCCACTCCTTTGTTGCCTTGGCCGTGTGTTTTGGGTCATTGTCATGCTGGAATACCCATCCACGACCCATTTTCAATGCCCTGGCTGAGGGAAGGAGGTTCTCACCCAAGATTTGACGGTACATGGCCCCGTCCATCTTCCCTTAGCAGAAAAACACCCCCAAAGCATAATGTTTCCACCTCCATGTTTGACGGTGGGGATGGTGTTCTTGGGGTCATAGGCAGCATTCCTCCTCCTCCAAACACGGCGAGTTGAGTTGATGCCAAAGAGCTCAATTTTGGTCTCATCTGACCACAACACTTTCACCCAGTTCTCCTCTGAATCATTCAGATGTTAATTGGCAAACTTCAGACAGGCATGTACAGTGGGGGAAAAAAGTATTTAGTCAGCCACCAATTGTGCAAGTTCTCCCACTTAAAAAGATGAGAGAGGCCTGTAATGTTCATCATAGGTATACGTCAACTATGACAGACAAAATGAGAAAAAATATTCCAGAAAATCACATTGTAGGATTTTTAATGAATTTATTTGCAAATTATGGTGGAAAATAAGTATTTGGTCAATAACAAAAGTTTCTCAATACTTTGTTATATACCCTTTGTTGGCAATGACACAGGTCAAACGTTTTCTGTAAGTCTTCACAAGGTTTGCACACACTGTTGCTGGTATTTTGGCCCATTCCGCCATGCAGATCTCCTCTAGAGCAGTGATGTTTTGGGGCTGTCGCTGGGCAACACAGACTTTCAACTCCCTCCAAAGATTTTCTATGGGGTTGAGATCTGGAGACTGGCTAGGCCACTCCAGGACCTTGAAATGCTTCTTACGAAGCCACTCCTTCGTTGACCGGACAGTGTGTTTGGGATCATTGTCATGCTGTAAGACCCAGCCACGTTTCATCTTCAATGCCCTTGCTGATGGAAGGAGGTTTTCACTCAAAATCTCACGATACATGGCCCCATTCATTCTTTCCTTTACACGGATCAGTCGTCCTGGTCCCTTTGCAGAAAAACAGCCCCAAAGCATGATGTTTCCACCCCCATGCTTCACAGTAGGTATGGTGTTCTTTGGATGCAACTCAGCAGTCTTTGTCCTCCAAACACGACGAGTTGAGTTTTTACCAAAAAGTTATATTTTGGTGTCATCTGACCATATGACATTCTCCCAATCCTCTTCTGGATCATCCAAATGCACTCTAGCAAACTTCAGATGGGCCTGGACATGTACTGGCTTAAGCAGGGGGACACGTCTGGCACTGCAGGATTTGAGTCCCTGGCGGCGTAGTGTGTTACTGATGGTAGGCTTTGTTACTTTGGTCCCAGCTCTCTGCGGGTCATTCACTAGGTCCCCCCGTGTGGTTCTGGGATTTTTGCTCACCGTTCTTGTGATCATTTTGACTCCACGGGGTGAGATCTTGCGTGGAGCCCCAGATCGAGGGAGATTATCAGTGGTCTTGTATGTCTTCCATTTCCTAATAATTGCTCCCACAGTTGATTTCTTCAAACCAAGCTGCTTACCTATTGCAGATTCAGTCTTCCCAGCCTGGTGCAGGTCTACAATTTTGTTTCTGGTGTGCTTTGACAGCTCTTTGGTCTTGGCCATAGTGGAGTTTGGAGTGTGACTGTTTGAGGTTGTGGACAGGTGTCTTTTATACTGATAACAAGTTCAAACAGGTGCCATTAATACAGGTAACGAGTGGAGGACAGAGGAGCCTCTTAAAGAAGAAGTTACAGGTCTGTGAGAGCCAGAAATCTTGCTTGTTTGTAGGTGACCAAATACTTATTTTCCACCATAATTTGCAAATAAATTCATTAAAAATCCTACAATGTGATTTTCTGGATTTTTTTTTCTCAATTTGTCTGTCATAGTTGACGTGTACCTATGATGAAAATTACAGGCCTCTCTCATCTTTTTAAGTGGGAGAACTTGCACAATTGGTGGCTGACTAAATACTTTTTTCCCCCACTGTACATGTGCTTTCTTGAGCAGAGGGACCTTGCGGGCGCTGCAGGATTTCAGTCCTTCACGGTGTAGTGTGTAGTGTGTTACCAATTGTTTTCTTGGTGACTATGGTCCCATCTGCCTTGAGATCATTGACAAGATCCTCCCGTGTAGTTCTGGGCTGATTCCTCACCGTTCTCATGATCAATGCAACTCCACGAGGTGAGATCTTGCATGGAGCCCCAGGCCGAGGGAGATTGAAAGTTATTTTGTGTTTCTTCCATTTGCGAATAATCGCACCAACTGTTGTCACCTTCTCACCAAGCTGCTTGGCGATGGTCTTGTAGCCCATTCCAGCCTTGAGTAGGTCTACAATCTTGTCCCTGACATCCTTGGAGAGCTCTTTGGTCTTGGCCATGGTGGAGAGTTTGGAATCTGATTGATTGATTGCTTCTGTGGACAGGTGTCTTTTATACAGGTAACAAACTGAGATTAGGAGCACTCCCTTTAAGAGTGTGCTCCTAATCTCAGCTCGTTACCTGTATAAAAGACACATGGGAGCCAGAAATCTTTCTGATTGAGAGGGGGTCAAATACTTATTTCCCTCATTAAAATGCAAATCAATTTATAACATTTTTGACATGCATTTTTCTGGATTTTGTTGTTGTTATTCTGTCTCTCACTGTTCAAATAAACCTACCATTAAAATTATAGACTGATCATTTCTTTGTCAGTGGGTAAACGTACAAAATCAGCAGGGGATCAAATACTTATTTCCCTCACTGTATGTCTCTGACTCTCCCCTCTCTGTCTCTATCTCTTTCTGACACACACAGACTTTCTTCCTGGATGGCAGTCTTACCGTAGAGTGACATAGGAAGCCAAACACGACCATGACCAGCGCTGGGGTCATGATGGTGCCGAACACGATACTGACCAGCGTGCTGTTGACCAGGGCGATGATCAGGTTCTGAGCCGTCACCAGTACTGAGCACGCTCAGCAGTCCAGAGAGCCTCTCAGCTCCAGAGGGGCATCCGTAGCCCCCGCCATGCTGCCCGCTACTGAGTACGGGGGTGGCACCACCACCCCTGACCCCCCCGTGGGCGACCCTGGCACAGAGGTCACAGAACCTGTGTGCTGGAGGTGAAATTGCAGTGATGACAAAGGTTCCCCATTGTTAATGTGATGCAGCTGGGTGATGCCATTCTCCAGGGTCCGGTTCCTTGGCAGACTCATCCTCCCTAGGCCTTCGGGAAACAAAATGATTAGTGTTGATTTATTAATTCATTCATTTATGTGTCTATCATACAATGTTATAATCATCATTACTAGTGGCAGTGCAGTTAATTATGGGCCAAGTGGTATTGGGCGGGCCTGTTACTGCTCTTCTGTTAGGGAGCCTTATAGTGCTTGCAGTTACAGTGCCTTCAGAAAGTATTCACACCCCTTGAGTTTTTTTCCACATTTTGTTGTGTTACAAAGTGGCATTAAAATGGATTTAATTGTCATTTTTTTTGTCAACAATCTACACAAAATACTCTCTAATGTCAAAGTGGAAGAAAAAATCTAACATTTGTAAAAAAAATATATGTGAAAAATAAAACACAAATATATCTTGATTAGATAAGTATTCAACCCCCTGAGTCAATACATGTTAGAATCACCTTTGGCAGCGATTACAGCTGTGAGTATTTCTGGTTAAGTCTCTAAGAGCTTTGCACACCTGTATTGTACAGTATTTGCACATTATTCTTTTTTAAATTCTTCAAACTCTGTCAATTTGGTTGTTGATCATTGCTAGACAGCCATTTTCAAGTCTTGCCATAGATTTTCAAGCCAATTTAAGTCAAAACTGTAACTATGACACTAGGAACGTTCAATGTCGTTTTGGTAATCAATTCGAGTGTATATTTGGCCTTGTGTTTTAGGTTAATGTCCTGCTGAAAGGTGACTTTGTCTCCCAGTGTCTGTTGGAAAGCAGACTGAACCAGGTTTTCCTCTAGGATTTTGCCTTGCTTAGCTCTATTCCGTTCCTTTTTTTCCAAAAAAACTCCCTAGTCCTTGCCGATGACAAGCATACCCATAACATAATACAGCCACCACCATTCTTGAAAATATGAAGAGTGGTACTCAGTGATGTCTTGTGCTGGATTTGCCCCAAACATAATGCTTTGTATTCAGGACATGAAGTTCATTTATTTGCCATATTTTGTTGCAGTTTTACTTTAGTGCCTTATTGCAAATAGGAATTTGGAATATTTTTTTTCGGTACAGGCTTCCTTCTTTTCACTCTGTCATTTAGGCTAGTATTGTGGAGTAACTACAATGTTGTTGATCCATCCTCAGTTTTCTCCTATCACAGCCATTAAACTCTGTAACTCTTTTAAAGTCACCATTGGCCTCATGGTGAAATCCCTGAGCGGTTTCCTTCCTTTCTGTCACGGAGACCGCCGAGGCTGCTCCTCCTCCTTGCTCGGGCAGGCTTCGGCGTTCGTCGTCCCCGGAGTACTAGCTACTACCGCTTGATGTTTTCGATGTTTGTTTGGTTATGTTTAGTTGGTGCACCTGTCTCGTATTATGTCTTGATTATGTCTCCTATAAATTCCCCTGTGTTAGGTTTGCATTTTGTGTGTTATTGTCGCCTGTCGTGTATGTATGGGTTCTGTGACCTTGGCTTTTGTGGGTTTTACGCACTCGCGTATTTTGTTACGCCTCTTGTGTTTTTGGAGGCTGTTAATTTGTGTGTACCTTGAGAGGTATTAGTAAAGTCGTCTTGAATATTCCTCTGTGTCCACCCGCATCCACATCAGACCTTGACACTCTCTGGCAACTGAGTTAGGAAGGACGCCTGTATCTTTGTAGTGACTGGGTGTATTGATTGTATTGATACACCATCCAAAGTTTAATTAATAACTTCACCATGCTCAAATGGATATTCAATGTCTGCTTTTTTTTGAACCCATCAACCAATAGGTGCCCTTCTTTGCGAGGCATTGGAAAACCTCCCTGGTCTTTGTGGTTGAATCTGCGTTTGAAATTCACTGCTTTACTGAGGGACCTTACAGATAATTGTACGTGTGGGGTACAGCGATGAGGTAGTCATTCAAAAATCATGTTAAACACTATTATTGCACATGCAACTTTGTCTGTGACTTGTTAAGCACATTTTTACTCCTGAACTTATTTAAGCTTGCCATAACCAAGGGGATGAATACTTATTGATTCAAGACATTTCAGCGTTACATTTTTTATTAATTTGTAAAAATGTCTAAAAACATAATTCCGCTTTCACATTCAAATCAAATCAAATCAAATCGTATTTGTCACATACACGTGTTTAGCAGATGTTATTGTGGGTGTAGTGAAAAGCTTGTGCTTCTAGCTCCGACAGTGCAGTAATATCTAACAAGTAATATCTAACAATTTCATAACATATACCCAATACACACAAATCTAAGTAAGGAATGGAATTAACAATATACATATATGGACGAGCAATGACAGAGCGGCATGGACTAAGATACAGTAGAATATTATAGAAAATGGGGTATTATGGGGTATTGTGTGTAGGCCAGTGACACACAATTTCAATTTAATTAATTTTAAATTCAGGCTGAAAAAGTCAAGGGGTGTGAATACTTTCTGAAGGCATTGTAGATAGACGAGGAGCCTGATAATGAATCCCCTTTACACACAGGAATCTGTTTGGCATGCCCCTATTTCAATAACAGATTGTAGCTCAGTTGGTAGAGCATGGCGCTTGCAACGCCAGGGTTGTGGGTTCGTTTCCCACGGGGGGGCCAGTATGAAAATGTATGCACTCACTAACTGTAAGTCGCTCTGGATAAGAGTGTCTACTAAATGACTAAAATGTAAATGAAAAAAAGCCTCTCAATGTCATTGCATTAACCTGAGGGTAGCTAAGTTTCCTAAAGTACAGTGGTGAGAGGTGTGGAAAGTAAACACAGATAACTACGCAACTCTGGGCAGGAGGAAATGGACTCCCCTTGGCCCCATCCCCCAGTCTCCCGGATGATGACTACAGACCCAGAACAATGAGGCCCCTCCTCTTCAACACCCCCTTCTAAGAAACCCTCTTCCACTCATTTTAGAGGTCAACAAGCTTTTGTTGCATTGGATTTTAACTGAAAACGGATCATTGTAATGGGTTATTTCATATATTTCACCCAACTTTCATCAATGTTCAGTTGACTTTAGCAGTGGGGTGGGACCTCAGCCATCATGTGTCATGGTCACATGTCCTCAGATCACATCTGATACTATAACTGTTGGTATTAAGATGAAGGTAGCATGTACAGGTATGACCAGCATGTATGACCTCTCATAGAACATCATGGGAAAACGGGATCATGGATTGAAATAGTTACTTTTCCATTCAGTCTCTATATGAACCAAGCAAAGAAGGGGGTGGATTAAAAACCTTCCAATAAAGTTATTAAACTGTCCTGGTAATACATGGAAAATGTATGCACTCACTAACTGTAAGTGGCTCTGGATAAGAGCGTCTGCTAAATGACTCAAATGTAAATATAAAATGTAATACAAAATGCTAAACGTCTCATCACACCCAAACTTTAATTGAACATGCACTAGAAGCATAAACCCTATGAGCTGGAAGAAAGTTGACTATGATCTTTGTTAGGATGTTTAGTTTTAGTTTCCATGTCCCTCCATCCCTGGACACCCATAACGATTACAATAAGATGTGTTTACTCACTGTGTGATTGGTGGAGCAGTTCTGAGGATCGGTCTCTCTCTCTCTCCTCTTACAGCAGCAGTAAGAGAAGATGAGAATACACTCTGTTCTTTAACCTGTCTTCCTTCTCTGAGAACGCGCGTCAAGAGAAGAAGAGGTAGGTCTCCACCACATGAACATCCAGATCCTGAGGTCAGACTGATGATATTGCTCAGGTGTAAGTTTATACCCTGATGATGTGAGTTTAGACCTTTGTCATTCTCTGATATATCCTGGTGTTTTTTTTATTTTTTATATATATATACAGTGGGGAGAACAAGTATTTGATACACTGCCGATTTTGCAGGTTTTCCTACTTACAAAGCATGTAGAGGTCTGTAATTTTTATCATAGGTACACTTCAACTGTGAGAGACGGAATCTAAAACAAAAATCCAGAAAATCACATTGTATGATTTTTAAGTAATTAATTTGCATTTTATTGCATGACATAAGTATTTGATACATCAGAAAAGCAGAACTTAATATTTGGTACAGAAACCTTTGTTTGCAATTACAGAGATCATACGTTTCCTGTAGGTCTTGACCAGGTTTGCACACACTGCAGCAGGGATTTTGGCCCACTCCTCCATACAGACCTTCTCCAGATCCTTCAAGTTTCGGGGCTGTCGCTGGGCAATACGGACTTTCAGCTCCCTCCAAAGATTTTCTACTGGCTAGGCCACTCCAGGACCTTGAGATGCTTCTTACGGAGCCACTCCTTAGTTGCCCTGGCTGTGTGTTTCGGGTCGTTGTCATGCTGGAAGACCCAGCCACGACCCATCTTCAATGCTCTTACTGAGGGAAGGAGGTTGTTGGCCAAGATCTCGCGATACATGGCCCCATCCATCCTCCCCTCAATACGGTGCAGTCGACCTGTCCCCTTTGCAGAAAAGCATCCCCAAATAATGATGTTTCCACCTCCATGCTTCACTGTTGGGATGGTGTTCTTGGGGTTGTACTCATCCTTCTTCTTCCTCCAAACACAGCGAGTGGAGTTTAGACCAAAAAGCTCTATTTTTGTCTCATCACACCACATGACCTTCTCCCATTCCTCCTCTGGATCATTCAGATGGTCATTGGCAAACTTCAGACGGGCCTGGACATGCGCTGGCTTGAGCAGGGGGACCTTGCGTGCGCTGCAGGATTTTAATCCATGACGGCATAGTGTGTTACTAATGGTTTTCTTTGAGACTGTGGTCCCAGCTCTCTTCAGGTCATTGACCAGGTCCTGCCGTGTAGTTCTGGGCTGATCCCTCACCTTCCTCATGATCATTGATGCCCCACAAGGTGAGATCTTGCATGGAGCCCCAGACCGAGGGTGATTGACCGTCATCTTGAACTTCTTCCATTTTCTAATAATTGCGCCAACAGTTGTTGCCTTCTCACCAAGCTGCTTGCCTATTGTCCTGTAGCCCATCCCAGCCTTGTGCAGGTCTACAATTTTATCCCTGATGTCCTTACACAGCTCTCTGGTCTTAGCCATTGTGGAGAGGTTGGAGTCTGTTTGATTGATTGAGATTCTTACTGGTTGGTAGGTGATCAAATACTTATGTCATGCAATAAAATGCAAATGAATTACTTAAAAATCATACAATGTGATTTTCTGGATTTTTGTTTTAGATTCCGTCTCTCACAGTTGAAGTGTACCAATGATAAAAATTACAGACCTCTACATGCTTTGTAAGTAGGAAAACCTGCAAAATCGGCAGTGTATCAAATACTTGTTCTCCCCACTGTATATACACATATACACATACATACAAAATATATACACATACAGACATATACATAAATACATATCCTTTAAAAATATATATATTTCCCTTATATCCTGGTGTTTCTGAAAGTAAACTCTGTCTCCCCTCTGTCTCCTGTCTTTCTCCTGTCTGTCTCCCCTCCTATTCCCTTCTGTCTCCTGTCTGTCTCCACTCTGTCTCCCCTCTGTCTCCTGTCTGTCTCCCCTCTGTCTCCTGTCTGTCTCCCCTCTGTCTCCTGTCTGTCTCCCCTCTGTCTCCTGTCTGTCTCCCCTCTCTCCTGTCCGTCTCCCCTCTGTCTCCTGTCTGTCTCCCCTCTGCTGGGTGTGTGTATATGGGCTGCTGTGGTGCTGGTGGGTACAGAGAGGCAGCTGGGGTGTGTTCGGGGTTGGTGATGGTATTTGGAAAGGGCGGGGGTGCACAGGAGGGATTACACTGATAACCCTTGGAACCAGTGGGGAGCGAGGGGGTAGGGAGGGGAGGGATGGGGGGAGAGAGGGGGAAAAAGTGTTTATTTGGATAGATTAGGAGACAGGGGTGAGAGTTGCCAAAACTCTTGCAGTTACTACAATCACTAACCACAACCTTCTGCTGCAGTCACTACAACCACTAACCACTACCTTCTGCTGCAGTTACTACAACCACTAACCATTACCTTCTGCGGCAGTCACTACAACCACTAACCACTACCTTCTGCTGCAGTTACTACAACCACTAACCACTACCTTCTGCGGCAGTCACTACAACCACTAGCCACTACCTTCTGCTGCAGTTACTACAACCACTAACCACTACCTTCTGCTGCAGTTACTACAACCACTACCTTCTGCTGCAGTTACTATAACCACTAACCACAACCTTCTGCGGCAGTCACTACAACCACTAACCACTACCTTCTGCTGCAGTTACTACAACCACTACCTTCTGCTGCAGTTACTATAACCACTAACCACAACCTTCTGTGGCAGTCACTACAACCACTAACCACTACCTTCTGCTGCAGTTACTACAACCTCCACCTTCTGCTGCAGTTACTACAACCACTACCTTCTGCTGCAGTTACTACAACCACTAACCACATACCTTCTGCTGCAGTTACTACAACCACTAGCGAATACCTTCTGCTACAGTTACTACAACCACTACCTTCAGCTGCAGTTACTACAACCAACTACCTTCTGCTGCAGTTACTATAACCACTAACCACAACCTTCTGCGGCAGTCACTACAACCACTAACCACTACCTTCTGCTGTAGTTACTACAACTCCACCTTCTGCTGTAGTTACGACAACCACTATCTTCTGCTGCAGTTACTACAACCACCAACCACCTACCTTCTGCTGCAGTTACTACAACCACTAGCGAATACCTTCTGCTGCAGTTACTACAACCACTACCTTCTGCTGCAGTTACTACAACCACTACCTTCTGCTGCAGTTACTACAACCACTAACCACTACCTTCTGCTGCAGTTACTACCAACCACTAACTACTACCTTATGCATTCTAATAAAAATAAATAATAATGTGGATAATAAAATCTGTCCTAAACACAAACAAACATAGAGTGGAACATTCTGAACGTAAATGTTGGTAAATGTAAGCATTTAAAAGAATATATTTGTAATATAGTGAGATGGTGATAAGATGGAATAAACTGTCAAAAGGTTTTGTACTGTGTCTCCATTACAAGGTAAACCGATACAGAACATGTGTATTTTACACTTGCTATACATGTTCAGAACATGCATCCATTTTTGCTGGGCTAGCTTCTTACAGAAGACAGATCCGTATCTGATAATGAGTGAGATCTAGATGATGGGGAGTAAACACGCTGACTGCACAAAGATAAGACACATAGATTCCCATAGCGCTACAGCATATAGACCCCAAGACAGAACAGAACTGAACAAATGAACAGAGAGCTGTGTAGAAGTTAGGGGCAGTGGCTGGGTCATATAAGACATTATTGTTTTAAAGGTCGAGAAGGAAATGGAACTGGCTCTTGCCCTCTTGATGAAAAACAGAACACCAGGTTCAGAAAACAAAGTGGAAATGTGGATGAGGGAAGAACAGAGTAATGTGGCGGGAGAAGGAGAGGATCGTCAGACTGATAAGAGACCGGTGGGGGTTTAGTTCAAAGGGTGAAAATTAGGGTTTTTCCCAGTTTTTTATCACAGTCAGGGCAGGTGCGTCTATTTACTTATTTCTTCAGAGGGCAGATAGTGATTGGATGAAGGAGGGAGTTGAGAAGAAGAAGTAGAAAGAGCGGTGATAAAAAAAAACTTTAGCATTGTGGAAGACCAGCCAGTCCAGGAATGTAGGGGGAAATCCTGAGAGGATTCAGAGAATAATGGAGATGTATGTTTTTCCCTCTGATCGATGTGCAGCTGCTATTACCTCAGTGCTGCGGTCATCCTTGAGGAGTGTGTGTGTGTGTGTGTGTGTGAGTGTGTCTGTGTCAGAGAGAGAGAGAGACATACAGTGGGGCCTAAATTATTGACACCCTTAATAAAGATGAGCAATAATAACTGAATAAAATAAATAATTTAAATACTGAGCTATATTGTATGCTATAAAAAATAGCATAAAAGGGCCCCAGTACCAGTGGAAGCAAATAGCCCCATAACATCAAAGATCCACCACCATATTTTTACAGTGCGTGGCCAAAGAGTACTATTTTCATGTCATCCAACAAATGTAAATGCCTGGAGTTTGCTAAAATGCATTGGCACTTGGATTGGAACCTGTGCTTTGGTCAGATTACATGAAAATAGAGCTCTTTGGCCACACACACCAGTGGTGGGTTTGGTGTTGAAATGAGAACGCATAAACAAAGAAGAACCCAATATACCTACTGTAAAATATGGGGCTCTTGTTAAGGTCATGAACTTTACCAAGTACCAGGACATTTTAGCCAAAAACCTGGTTGCTTCTCCCAGGAGGCTGAAGTTTGGCCTCAAGTGGATCTTCCAGCAAGACAATAACCCCAAGCACACATCAAAATCCACAAAAAAAAATGTCAATGGCCACAAAATCAAAATGTTACAATGGGAATCTCAGTCTCCGGACTTGAAACCCATTAAAAACACATGGCTTGATTTTAAGAAGGCAGTCCATAAACACAGACAAAGGATATCAAGGACCTGGAAAGATTCTGTATGGAGTAATGGTCTAAGATCCCTCCCAATGTGTTCTCCAAAAGGTTCAGTGCTGTTATGCTCACAAGGTGAGGTATTGAAAGGTATTGAAAACAGGGGTGTCAATAATTTTGACCCCTATATTGTTTTGAAAAAATTATATTACTTGTTAAACAAAATCCATTTTCTCAGAGTATAAAATCATATAATTTCCTAATTTGTGTGAGCATATAATATAGCTTAGTATTTTAATGATTTTTTTTATACGGTCATTTTTGCTCATCTTTATCAAGGGTATGTGTATGTAGAGAAGTCTAGAGCAGGAGTGTCAAACTCATTCCATGGAGGGCCTAGTGTCTGCAGGTTTTTGGCTTTTCATTTCAATTAAGCCCTAGACAACCAGGTGTGGGGAGTTCCTACCTAATTAGTGACCTTAATTCATCAGTCAAGTACAAGGGAGGAATGAAAACCAGCAGACATTCGGCCCTCCATTGACTGAGTTTGACACCTGTGGTCTAGAGGGTTGCTAGCGGAGGAGGAAGGCCAGTCTTCCTATCCTTGGAACCAGGATATCTGCTGCTCTATCCGTAGGTCTAGGATGAGGTGTCCCTGCATCCTCTTTAAACTAACATCACCAGTAATCCAAACACTAACACATTCTGTGTGCACTGAAGGTCAATCTGGTTGATGTACTTTATTAAAGCGAGCAAAGAGCAGGAAGTGAAGAATGATATGACAAAAGAAATGGATGCTGCTAGGCATTAACATCAGCAGGGAATGAAGAGTGGGTAGATTCTAGGGATTAAATAAATCTCCCTCCATTGAAATGTTTCTCCAAGGGCCTCCCGAGTAGCGCAGCAGTCTAAGGCACTGCATCGCAGTGTTGCGGCGTCACTACAGCCTGGGGTTCGATCCCAGGCTGTGTCATTACCAGCCGTGACCGGGAGTCCCATAGGGCGCACAATTGGCCCAGCGTCTTCCGGGTTAGAGGAGGGTTTGGGCAGGGGGGGCTTTACTTGGCTCATCGCGCTCTGGTGACTCCTTGTGGCGGGCCGGGTGCCTGCTGGCTGACATCAGTCGTCAGTTGAACGGTGTTTCCTCCGACACATTGGTGTGGCTGGCTTCTGGTTTAAACAAGCGGGTGTTAAGAAGTGCGGTTTGGCGGGTCATGTTTCGGAGGACGCATGACTCGACCTTCGCTTCTCCTGAGCCCTTTGGGGAGTTGCAGCGATGAGACAATCACGAAATTGGGAGAAAAAAGGGGGTAAAAAAATTCAATGACAATAAGAATTTCTCAAAACATTTTATTGTATCAATAATACTCACAATAATGTCACAGAAAAATCACAGAGTGTTTAAGACAGGTCTGGCTCATGTTCTCTTCTATGTGAGATATATTTTATTTTGTTTTAAAACAGCACAGCTTAAATAAAAAGAGTCAGTGGATGAGGAGCAGACAACAACCTTGAAATGATCCTCATGAGGACAGAACACTGAAGGAACCCAAACCTCACTACACATCAGTCTCTTTAAAATGTGGCTAAAACTACAACTACTGCTAATCACAAATGCTTCACAATTTTATGAATTTCGTACAATGCAAAAAAGTTGAAAAAGGTATTGTGTTTATCAGTTAGATACAGTACAAAGACATCATTCTATTTGTTTACCGGTAATTGTAATGAAGCGGTTCTAAGCACCAACCTGTCGGTTTAAGTTATATTCATTGACTTATATTCATAGATCATTTATACACAGTTAATGAGGAGGTGGCGAGGTAAGAGGGGGTTGAGCACCATGAAAATCCAACCTCCCCCTGTTTGCTCTTCCCCGTCCACACACAATAGGAAACCTTAAAAATATCTGGTGTCCCCAGAGAAGCACCATCAATATGCAATAAATACATTTAAGAAAACAAACATATACAAGTATAAATAAAGTCACAATTTACAATTCTTCATTTTCTCTGTAATCCAGAAAATAAGGAGATATCAACCAAAAAAGAGGTATAAAACAGGGAGAAGGATCCCATTATCAAAAGAAAAAGGTAAAGGAAGAGGATCTTCTTTAGGGCGTATTGTAGCAATCACATCTCTCTCTACCAAACATTATTTAGGCTTTTTATGCAAAAATTAAAATCACAATAAAACACACTAGATTTCCAACAAAGAGTGAAAGCAGATTAGTCCTCTAGTTCTAGTTAACCCGTATTTCAGAGAAATTTAAACAATTTCTTAAATTAATATTCCTAATGCTTTAGAAAGTTGTGTCTGCATGTTTGATTTTCTAATTTCCTTTCATCTAAATACAGTTCACAAGGCCAATGTGGTGTACTTCTAGGCTGGTAAAACTTTTGAAATATCTAGGTCAGAATAATGGAAATACAATGGAAATAGCCCCCAAAGAGTATACAGACAGGAATGACAAATGTCAGAGTTCACCTGAATAGAAAACCAAACCAAAACAATGGGATTTCATTGAGACTATCAGCTACTTTGCTTGTGAAGCAATTCCCCTGCTGCTACCGTAGCAACACGGTAAATTCATGGACATAGAATAACTAGATTGGTGTAAAAAAGTTCCATTGGATTTGCATAAAAGTACCTGAATTAATGCACCATATACCGGCTACTTGACGCTTTTGAATCACAGCAGTGTCCGTTTTAAATAAGACCTGATTTCCAGTGCTAACAATGTTCACATTTTCTGTAGTTGTCTGACATGTTTTTAACAAGTAGTAGTACCAGTCTAGTCATTCTATCTCAAGACTCAAGTCCAATCAGCAGCTGGTAGGAGGGGAAGACAACAGTGAGTTGGAATTCAATTGACTGATGGCCGATATCTTATTGTGATGTAAACAATACTGAGTAAACATGGTTGGCTGTTCACCAAGTGTTAGCAGTAGTAATATTCCTTGAAGACAACGTCTGTGCTGCCACTGAGTAGGAGCTTTGGTTATGGCTGCTAGACAACAGGGAGGATGCCTCACTTGGAGCAGGGTGATGGAGTCTGGAGAGAGAAAGAGGAAGAGAAAGATAGACAGAAAGAAAGAAAGGGGGGTAAATATGATGGACATAACTTCACAGCACGCAGAAAAATGGTGTGTGTGTGTATGTCTCACCACACAGATGCTGTCATAGGTTCTCATCAGCTCCTCCATGCAGTACTGCTCCAGCACCACTACTCCTGCCAGCGAGGGGCTCTTGGACACAGTCCGGGCACAGTCCTCACAGTGCACCATGTAGGTCTTCCTGCTGCCAGACTCACTAGTTACAAACAGCAGGTCAAACACCTCCACCTGCACACAGACACAACACAATCACTCACTGCAGAAATAACCAAAGCCATACACCAACACTCTGTTGGATAAGATGCTCGGGACATGGTAGTTCATAGCAGGTCTGATTCAGGCATACATCCACAGGCTGTTGGGAGGGACTTACGTCACACTCGTTGCAGTAGTAGGCTGGTTCGTCCTTCACACGACTCTGATAAGAGATTTTCTTCCCTGCAGCAACCAGCTGGTCTCTCAGAATCTGAATGTGCTTAATGGACTGCAGGAGACAATGTCTGAGAGAAGGAGGGGGTTTGAGGGAGGGAGAGAAAAGAGAGAGAGAGAGAGGTAAGGTGTAGCAAGAAACAAACATTCATACTAGATAGATGACGAGGGACACTTACACACACACCACACACACACACACACACACTTGACCATCTTGTAGGTTTCTTGGTCGGTGATCTTGATAGTGCGGGCTACGTTCCAGGAGACATGGATCATGGGAACGATGGACTTGACCTTCTTGATCTCATTCCACTCAAAGCGCTCCAGAGCCAGCTGATACTGGTATGCTGCAAGGGCAAAGACGACACAGACATACTTTACAGTAGAAAAGCACACAAAGGGATTTTGATTTAATTTGACTGAGGTAAAGGATTGTGTAGATACAATAGCTGCACTGTGTATGACCCAGCTCCCATTTCCTATCTATGGCTTGCCCTGCTGGACACTATTAATAACTCACAGTTGAGAGGTCCCACGTTCCAGGCGATGTTGTTGCACCAGCCCACAGCCTGCACCCAGTGGACGGACCCTGCGTTGATCCACACCAGGTCCCCTGGTCTCTGGATGAAGCGGTACACTGGGATGTTGGAGCGATACAGGTCCTCCAGAACAGGCCACCAGGACCCAGTCAGGTAGTCTACTCCATGCCTGAAGGAGGGAGGAGAGATGATAGCAAAGTAGTGGTTTCTGGTTCAAATCCCCTTTGGATCACTGTTGTTATGCATTTCAATGAGCAGAACAGCTCAAATGCTTAACTAAATTGAAGACAGACCCTCACACGAAAGCAGACCCATGACTCACTTCTCACAGAAATTGTTGATGTGCTCCCAGTAGTGTTCATGGACTGCGAACCACTCACAATCCCCCGGCCCAATGTTGATGTTCACAGAGCAGAAGTTATTATTCTCCTGGTGGCCTGAAAACAGACATACAGAGATATTTAAGCCCATGATGGACAGATGCATGTAATATGCATTTAAACACACACCAATATAACTCAGACACTGACCAGGTGTACGGCTGCCGGGGACCTTCATGTAGAGCTGGACGGTGTTCATGCCCAGGATGGTGTGTCCCACATGGCTCAGCATGTTCCCATTGGACTCCACACGCATAAAGGCTGGTAGCTTCAGCAGCTCCTGCAGCTGGGGCTTCCACCTGGTAACACACATCAAACATATGTTAACACTCTACTTCCTCTCTATGGGTGTCCTTAGCCCTGTCTAAAAGAACCAACCACATATAAAGCTAATCTCACCTCTTAGGATCAGAGATGTCGATGTTGGTGCCGAATTTGATAATCTTTCCAGTTGATTTCGCCTCCGGCCTATAGGAAAGAGGAAGTGTCTAAAAAAACGTCAGAATATTGTTTTGATTAAAGGTATTGTATTTGATTTCATAAGGAGTTGACTGCACAGTATGCTGTGGATACTATGAGGTGACCTGAGTGTGTTAGCAATAGGGGTAGGGCCAACTTTGCCAGCAACTGTGGTAGAGTTGGCTTTACTAGCAACTGTTGTAGGAGTTGCTTTGCTAGTAACCACAGTAGGGCTGGGTTTGCTGGTGCCAGATGCAGGGTTGGTTGATGGGTCAGAGGGCAGAGTCTGTTTCTCTTCTTGTTCTTCCTCATCCTCATCCTCACTGTCCTTCTCTTCCTGTAGACACATATAGGCACATGAACGTAGCTGGGCAAAGAGAGGAAGTGGGGGGAGGAATAGTATGGAAGCATTATGTGTTTGTGTGTGTGATATTTGTGTGTGTGTGTTCATCTCCAACCTGGAGGCTCTCCTGGAAGCTGGAGGCCTGGTATGCGGCGTACTTGGCGATGGTGGTGTGTGAGCGGCTGCTCTCGCAGGGCCAGGTCTGAGCTGAACCAGTGGCGTCCCAGTTCTCATCAGCAGGCTGCTGCACCTGGGTCCTCACCTCCACAGCGTGCTCTGCATTGGCCTCCACCAGAGACTTAGTGGAGAACAGACCCAGGTCTGACAGAGAGGGAGGGAGAGGGGGAGGGAGAGAGGGAGGGAGAGGAAAGAGGAATGAGATAAAAGTATAGTAAGTAAATCAGAAATTATGTTGCTGTTTTAACCTTTAGCCCAGAGACAAATCGAAATGTGCAAACTCACTGAGTCGTAGGGATCCAGCCAGGCCTCTGATGACAGTGACAGGGTTCTTGGGGTCGGTACAGAATTGGAGGAGGACTGGGGAGAAGGCATCTCTCTTACTCTCCAACTGGACACAGACACACAGGACAACACAGGAATACATCAACTAGGCACACATCCAGAACTGATATGTGAGTGATGGGTATGAGAATGAAGAAGAAAAGAGGGGGGAAAAAGAAGAAGAAGATTACTTTATGGTCTATTGTCATTGGACACAGAGCTGCATGTTTTCTTTTGCTTTATCCCCCCCCCCCCCCCAAGACACCCACACGCACAGACTGGTTGGTGCATAGGGTCAGCCGCCGTGCAGCGCCCCTAGAGTGTGGACTCACATAGATGCTTGGTGTGGGGGGGTTGAGCTTCTCTCGTGGGATTGGTGTGTCGGTGCTAAGGACAGGCTTGACAGAGAAAGCAGGGAGCAGATAGGACTCCCGAAACTTCCCCTTCACCTTCGCCCCCCTAAAACAGACAGAGAAAGAGACAGATGAAGAGGGAGAATTCAATAAGATTGAATTTAACCCACTTTCAATGTTTTGTGCCCCAACCTCTCTTCCTCCATTGAAATGTCTTGGTAGTAAATGTACAGTGGGGAAAAAAAGTGTTTAGTCAGCCACCAATTGTGCAAGTTCTCCGACTTAAAAAGATGAGAAAGGCCTGTAATTTTCATCATAGGTACACGTCAACTATGACAGACAAAATGAGAAAATAAAATCCAGAAAATCACATTGTAGGATTTTTAATGAATTTATTTGCAAATTATGGTGGAAAATAAGTATTTGGTCAACAACAAAAGTTTTTCAATACTTTGTTATATACCCTTTGTTGGCAATGACACAGGTCAAACGTTTTCTGTAAGTCTTCACAAGGTTTTCACACACTGTTGCTGGTATTTTGGCCCATTCCTCCATGCAGATCTCCTCTAGAGCAGTGATGTTTTGGGGCTGTCGCTGGGCAACACGGACTTTCAACTCCCTCCAAAGATTTTCTATGGGGTTGAGATCTGGAGACTGGCTAGGCCACTCCAGGACCTTGAAATGCTTCTTACGAAGCCACTCCTTCGTTGCCCGGGCGGTGTGTTTGGGATCATTGTCATGCTGAAAGACCCAGCCACGTTTCATCTTCAATGCCCTTGCTGATGGAAGGAGGTTTTCACTCAAAATCTCACGATACATGGCCCCATTCATTCTTTCCTTTACACGGATCAGTCGTCCTGGTCCCTTTGCAGAAAAACAGCCCCAAAGCATGATGTTTCCACCCCCATGCTTCACAGTAGGTATGGTGTTCTTTAGATGCAACTCAGCATTCTTTGTCCTCCAAACACGACGATTTTTTACCAAAAAGTTATATTTTGGTTTCATCTGACCACATGACATTCTCCCAATCCTCTTCTGGATCATCCAAATGCACTCTAGCAAACTTCAGACGGGCCTGGACATGTACTGGCTTAAGCAGGGGGACACGTCTGGCACTGCAGGATTTGAGTCCCTGGCGGCGTAGTGTGTTACTGATGGTAGGCTTTGTTACTTTGGTCCCAGCTCTCTGCAGGTCATTCACTAGGTCCCCCCGTGTGGTTCTGGGATTTTTGCTCACCGTTCTTGTGATCATTTTGACCCCACGGGGTGAGAACTTGCGTGGAGCCCCAGATAGAGGGAGATTATCAGTGGTCTTGTATGTCTTCCATTTCCTAATAATTGCTCCCACAGTTGATTTCTTCAAACCAAGCTGCTTACCTATTGCAGATTCAGTCTTCCCAGCCTGGTGCAGGTCTACAATTTTGTTTCTGGTGTCCTTTGACAGCTCTTTGGTCTTGGCCATAGTGGAGTTTGGAGTGTGACTGTTTGAGGTTGTGGACAGGTGTCTTTTATACTGATAACAAGTTCAAACAGGTGCCATTAATACAGGTAATGAGTGGAGGACAGAGGAGCCTCTTAAAGAAGAAGTTACAGGTCTGTGAGAGCCAGAAATCTTGCTTGTTTGTAGGTGACCAAATACTTATTTTCCACCATAATTTGCAAATAAATTCATTAAAAATCCTACAATGTGATTTTCTGGATTATTTTTTCTCAATTTGTCTGTCATAGTTGACGTGTACCTATGATGAAAATTACAGGCCTCTCTCATCTTTTTAAGTGGGAGAACTTGCACAATTGGTGGCTGACTAAATACTTTTTTCCCCCACTGTACATCACATGTACCATGTACTCACTTGCAGGACCTGACGACCTCGCTGGCTGTGTGTCTGATGCTGACCTCTCCTAGAGGGATCCTGCGCTCCTCCACCTCGGAGGCGATGAACGTCTCTCGGACTCCACTCTCCACCTTGATCAGACGGATCTTCAGCTCCTTGGGAGGGCCAATGGACAGAGCCTTCAGCTTGAGGAAGTCAGCAGCAGCCAGGGGACAGAGGGTCCTCATCACTGCGGCAGCAGAGGGGGCCGGGGTGGGAGAAGGGGAGGTGGTAGCAGTGGAGGAGGTGTTGATAATGCTGGTGGTGGGTGCTGTTGCCACTGTGTCTGTGTTGCTGCCTGGTGTGGACGTCTTGGTTTCAGGCTCACTGCCTCTCTCCTCCTTCGTCTCTTTTGATTGTGCCCCCTGCTCAGTGTTTCCTGTGTGCGTCTTGTCTTTCTGTCCCTGGATGTCTTTGCTCTGGAGACCAAGGTTCCCCTGAATGGGACGGCTCTTCTTAGTGTCTTTGAGCTGCTTGGCTGGGTGACTGGGGTGAGGTGTAGATGAGAACAACGTAATGGAGGAGGCTGATTTTCTGTCACTCTTTTCTTCCACCTTCTTCTTTTCATTGCCTCCACTCCTCTGATGACTGCTGATGCTGTTATCTTGTTTTCTTCTCTTGCTCTTCCCTTCCCCGTCCCTGTTTCCATCCGCACTGCTTTGTTCCCTCTTTCTGTCTGTCTGCCTGCGTACCTCCCTCTGTCCCCGCTCCTCCTTGGTGGTGGCAGGCAGCCGATGTGTGGTGGTCAGTCTAAGCTCAGCGCTCAGAGACCCGGCCGTCTCCCCACTGTCTACACGCTTAGTCTTCCCTTTCTTTCTCTCATTCAGAATCTCCTCCAATCTCGCGTGCTTCTGTTTCGTGCGCTCCCCCACGGAGAGCTGTGGTTGGTCGAGGTTTAAGGGAGGGCGGGGTTTGGAAGGCGGATCTGAGGTAATGTGAGTGGGTGATTGGCTAGTGCGTCTTGGAGGCGTGGTGGAGTTGGATGTGGGGGAGGGGTTTTGCTGGTCCTGACAATTGGTTTCCGGGTCCATGGCGAGGGATGAAGAGTACTTCACTCCTCCCATGGAGCTAGGAGGAGGACGCCCAAACGGACCGCCCCGATATGTGTACCTCTGGCCCCCCAGGAATGAGGCCAACGATTTGAAGACATCAGCCACTCCTGTCTGGTGGAGGTGTGGCCGACGGGGAGGCAGAGAGCTGGACGATGTGTCTCCACCACTATCCTCCTCTTCTTCCTCCTCCTCTTCCTCCACTCCATTGGGAGTATCAGGCAAGCCATAGAGCTTGGCCAGGTCACTATGGCGAAGGTCATCAGCACCCCTCCCCTCACTGACCCCCTCAGCCTTCTCATTGAGCCCCTCTGAGTTCCCATGAGGGGGTGAGAGGGGCGGGCCGTGGGTGGGGCTGGGCTGCAGGACAGGTCTCCTCATCACTCCTCCCTCCTCTTCCTCTTCCTCACTCAGGGCTGATGCTGGGGAGCCTTGCCAGCTGAGAACAGGGGGACTGGCGGGGGGGTTGTCTCCCAGCTCCTCCACACTGCCCACCCCTGCCGCAGGTTGGAGATCTGGGGCCCGCAGGACCCCGCCTTCTGGACTAACACCCAATGTCTCTGTCTGGCTCTGGATGGACCCCCCTGACCCAGCCACAGTGGGAGCTGCTGGGGTTTTGGATGAGAGTGTGGAGGGGGTCAAATCAGCCTTCCTCCCTGGGCTGCATTTAGAAGGTGTTGGAGGACTGGTGGGCTGGGGACTGGTATTACTGGCCTTATTGGTCATGTTGGTGCTGACGTTGTTGTTGGTGGTGGTATTGTGGGTGGTGGTGGGTGGAAGACAGGCTGGCAGTGGTGAGTCCTTGACAGGGAATTTGGGTTGAGTTGGGTTTGACTTGTTCAGGGTCCCTCCCCTCTCTGACTTTTTGTGTTTGGATGGATGTGGTGAGGGTGTGGGTCGGCTGGGACGGGCTGCAGGCGGGCCAGCAAGTGGGATTGTCTCTGAGGTATTTGGAGAGCTGTGGTCATGGGGCTTTCCACCTCTTTCTTGGGCATTCTCCCTGTGTATGTGTTTACCAGGGGTGGATGGTGTCTGGGAGGGTTGGCCTGGCTTTCCTGGCTTCCCTGGAACCTTAGATCCAGACTTAGGGGAGGAAGGCCATACTGACGGAGCGAGGGATGAACTATGTGGGGACTTTGAGGATCCCCTCTCTGCTTTTTCCAGCTTTTTATCCCTTTTCTCTGTCTTCCTCTCTTCTTCTTGCTTTTTTCTTTCCACTTTGTCCCTCACCTCTTCTCCTTTATGGGTTTTATTCTTCACCCCATCCCCACTTTTCTCTTCTTTCTCCTTTCTCCTTTTCCTCTCCTCCATCTTACTCTCCGTCTTCCTCTTCTGTTCCCTCTTTCCCTCCTTGCCTCTTTCTGCTCTCCTTTCCTTATGTTTCCTCTCTGTCTGTTTGTGTCCGTGAGGCTGCAGCTCTGGCTTGTTGCCAGTAGGTCTGTTGTTGTTGACAGTAGGAGAGCTGGGTTGGGTCTGAGGCTCTGAGGCCCTGCTGGGCTTCATCTCTGACCTCTGAGTGCCTGAGCCTAGCCCTGTGGAGGAGGCAGAGAGAGGGGGAGTTGTGGGACTGGGCGAGGGGGTCCTTGGTCCCCGTTTATGGGGTGTGCCTGTGCCAATGTCAGGGCTCCTCTGATTGGGAGGTGGATCTTTCTTCCCACTGGCCTTACTAGGAGTGGTGGAGCTGGAGAGGCCAGAGGGGCTGGAGGAGCTCAGGGTGGTGCAGCCTCCATCTCTGTGGTTGCTGTTGCGGTGGGGTGGCTCTGTAGCATAGGGCTGGGAGGGGGTCTGATCCCTCTGCTGTCTGTGGGAGCGTGGGGCTGGGGGGCTGTGCTGAGGTACTGAGGGGGGTGATGGGGGACGCTGGTGGTGGAGGTGCTGGCTGTAAGGCACGCCGGTGGGATCTGCTGGTGAGGAGGGGTGCTGGGACTGGCCATCCACCTCCACTCTGGATCCATGGTGGGGGGGTCTGCTGCTGCCACAGGGCTGGGCTGGAGAGGGGTGGCGGGGGTAGGAGGAAGGAGGGGGGCCTTGACCATTGAAGGGGACCTGGGGAACTGGAGAATGGGTAGAATGATGTGTTCTGTATTTGATACTCCCTAATCCTGACTTGGTGGATTCCTGAAATAACAAGAGAGAGAGAGGATGGTTCATCAATGAGTAGTCTTTAATAGCGCATTGCTCTCTTGAAGTTCATTGGCTATTTACTGACTTACTTGTAACTCTGTAGATGAGCTCCTCCTGTCAGCATGGGTGCGAGGACCAGGTCTGTCATATGATTGTTTCCAGAAGCCTTGTTTGGAAGGAGGGTAGTAGGGTGGTGATTGGTGCTTGTCTGGGACGGATAAATGCATTGATCCACGGTGAGAGGGCTGGTGAGAGAGAACAGTAATAAACAGTCGGTATCCTGGTGTGGTCTTGCCAGAAGGTGGTGCTATTGTATAAATATCATGGCTACACACAGAGTTGCTTCAAACCACTGTTCCAGGATCAGATAGATATTACCCTAATGGTTAAGGTTGGTAGTAAAGCCATTTGATCCTAGATCAGGTTAGGGAAAACATATTTCTCAAGCACTAATAGCAGAACTAGCTGGTGGTGGTGGGGGACCTTCCACTCCTGGCAAACACAGACACATGGAGAATGGCCAAGGAAGAGGTGGAAGGTCACGATCACTAGCTCAGGTGGTGACTAATCACTGAAGAATCTGTCGGGACTGAATGGGATGGGTGAGATAACGAGCTGCAGTAGTTTCGGTCTTTGGGTTTTCGTTACTGGTTATATGGACATATCAGGTTTGGGCCAAGGCGGTGCTTATTAAACTGCTTCAATTCGAGTGCTTTGCGCGTGTGCCCACATGGATCGGAAGGGGGGGGTGGGGGTTCCTTTTGTGAGGGTGGAGACTTCGCAAACCGCCAGAACTCTTGATTTCTAATACGTATAGACCAAGAAGTTAATCACACAGCTGACCAAATTAACGTTACCCAAGATTTTACTTCTGGGTTAACAGAGATTAGGTGGTGACTGACCTGCTCAGGACCAGAGCTCCTGCTCTTCTTGGCAAGGCAGTCTTCCCTGGGAGGCGGGGGGTGCTGTGAGGGTGGGGAGCAGTGTGTAAGTTGGTCACGGTGGTGGTTGTGATGGTGGGAGGCTGGGCGTTTCCATGGTCCTAGTCCTTGGTCCATCATCCTGCCTTGGAAGGCTCTGGAGCGGTCTGAGGGGGCCCACCTCTCTGCTGGGGAGCCCAGGTCTCTGGGGGGGTCTCTGGGCAGATGGTGCTGGTGGGGACCCCCATACTGGGAGAGACAATTATCATAATTAAAGTCATGCAATCAATCATAAAAACGATGTAATATATAAATAATTATGTACAGTATTTATAGAGCACTACCCTCTTCCCATCTCACCCTGGGAGGCTGGTTTTTGTAGGAGTCCCAGCGGGTGAAGGGTTCCCCAGGTCCTGCTTGGTAGCCCCCCTGGTTGCGGCCATGGTTGTGAAATGACCGTGGGGAGTCCTGGTGCCAGCCATGGGTCTCATAAGCCTGGTCCTTCTGGTCCCAGGGTCGTGGTGCTAGTCTCTGGTCCCGCTGAGGACCCCTTCCCAGGGCATGGGAGGGTGGCCTGTCCCCCCTATGTTCCAGAGAGAAAGTGGAGATCACTAAGGGATCACTACATTAAGGTGACTGTGGACTTTCTACACACAATGTAAGATCTGAACGATTGAGATGTTTCATTCACCTGTCGGTATATATCTTGTTTGGGTGCTGGGATTGGTTGATTCCTCCATTGAACCTACAGTAGAGAAAGGAGGGTTACCATTGGCTCAGCACAGACTACAGAACAGGAAGAAGGGTTGTGATTGGGTCAGTAGGCAGTGGTATAAGAAGAGGGGTCACCTATTTGGAGGGCCCCAGGGGCGACTGTTGACGGGGGCCCATGTTCCTCTGGAAGGTCCTCCAGCATGGTAGGAGTCCCTGGTGTTACGGCCAGAACACTGCTCTGCTGGGTGATACATCCAGCCTGGGAACGGACAAGCACACACTTAACACACACCATGCACACATAATATACACTCACACAACTGCTTTAGGAACTTCAGGGTACAGATTTGCAGAAGTTAATAATTGGAAATAATGTATCTACAAATACAGCAATGCATCTACATTATAATGAATTAGGATAGAACTTGAGCAAACATACATGAACACACACTTTAGTTTACAAGCAAGGTGAATGGTTGCCATGGACACAAAGTAAAAAAAACTACTGTAAAATAAACAAAAACTTACACTTGTCTTTTCCTACTGGCACTGACTTTGCTGATAAATACTTTATTGAGAAAAAATGTACTTACCATCTATGATATGTGGTTGTCTCACCTAGTTGTCTTAAGATGAATGCACTAACTGGAAGTTGCTCTGGATAAGAGCATCTGCTAAATGACTAAAATGTAAAATGTACTGTTCACAGAGGTAGAAATACTCACCACACTTGGTCTGTGTCTGTAAAGCCCTCCACTATAAACCTGAGGGCTACACAACAACACGTGTCTGTCTTTCTTTCACTAACTCTAATCCACAACAGAGAGAGAGAGAGAGAGAGACTGTTCAGTGTTCAGTTGCTAAACTACAAAATAATGTTCAGTTCCTAAACCACAAAAACAACATGTAGAAATCAACCACTAGCCACATCATGCTTGATGTTCACAGTCTCTGTCCAGAGTCTCTATAGTCTACACGGTCAGTGGTGGGAAAAGTAACCAATTGTCATATTTGAGTAAAAGCAAAGATACCTTAATAGAAAGACTAAAGTAAAAGTAACCCTATAAAAAAAGTAACCCTATAAAATACTACTTGAATAAAAGTCTAAAAGTATTTGGTTTGAAACATACTTAAGTATCAAAAGTAAAAGTATAAATCATTTCAAATTCCTTATACTAAGCAAACCAGACGGTACGATTTTCTTGTTTTTTAAATTTACGGATAGCCAGCGGCAAACTCCAACACGCATCATTTACAAACAAATAATTTGTGTTTATTGAGAGATTCAGAGGCAGTAGGGATGTCCAAGGATGTTCTGGTGATAAGTGTGTGAATTGGACCATTTTCCTGTCCTGCTAAGCATTCAAAATGTAACGCATACTTTTGCGTGTCAGGGAAAATATATGGAGTAAAAAGTATATAATTGTCTTTAGGAATTAAAAGTAAAAGTTGTCAAAAATATAAATAGTAAAGTACAGATACCCAAAGAAAACGACTTAAGTAGTGCTTTAAAGTATTTTTACTGAAGTACTTTACGCCACTGTACATGTTAATGCACCTCCAACACTGCACTACAACTCCTACAATGGCACACAATTATAACTGCTACCGCCCACACACTAGATTACCATTAGGCACTGGTCCAAGATCAGCTTTACTTTAATAACAACAAATAAATGCGCTGCAGCTACACACACAACACTATCCTCTCCTCTCTCCTTTTCTGTTTCACTTTCTCTCTCTCAATGTCTGCCTCCTAATTTGCTGGAACAGTAGTTTGTTTGTGGTGAGCAGGCAGGCAGTTTATCACCAGTCAGCCAGAGCTGCACCCTGCATCCAGCCCCTCTCTGATCACCAGCTCCCAGCAGCAACTGCAGCCTGTGGCCAGCCACTGATAAAGGCCTGCCTGCCTGGCTCTCTGAAGAGGACGTATCATAGCAACCGCTCTAGTCTCCAACCATTCTAGTCTGGGCATGAAGAGGGCCACAGAGATAGCAGGGAGGGAGAGTGAAAAGGAGGGCAGAGCTGATTTGCAATTAGATATATGGAATATGGATGTGTGTGAAATCAACAGAGATGGAGAATGTGTGTGTGAATGAATGTACTTTATGTGACAGTGAAAGAGGACTTTCCCATTATGCTGTTTATAATACTGATTTAATACTATTTTGTACTAAAGCACAATGCAAACACATATATACATAAGGAATGTGTATCTTACACAGCACCAATCAAAAGTTTGGACACACCTACTCATTCAAGGGTTTTTCTTTATTTTTTACAATTTTCTACATTGTAGAATAATAGTGAAGACATCACAACTATGAAATAACACATATGGAATAATGTAATAACCCAAAAAGTGTTAAACAAATCAAAATATATTTTATATTTGAGATTATTCAAATAGCCACCCTTTGCCTTGACGAAAGCTTTGCACACTCTTGGCATTCTCTCAACCAGCTGCACCTGGAATGCTTTTCCAACAGTCTTTAAGGAGTTCCCACATATGCTGAGCACTTGTTGGCTGCTTTTCCTTCACTCTGCCATCTGACTCATCCCAAACCATCTCAATTGGATTGAATTCGGGGGATTGTGGAGGCCATGCAGAATGCTGGAGGTAGCCATGCTGGTTAAGTGTGCCTTGAATTCTAAATAAATCACTGATAGTGTCACCAGCACAGCACCCCCACTGTCATGGATCCCCCCGGTACTGCTGCTCATTCCGTTCACCAGCTCCAGAGGTCTACGTCACTGGTCTTCTAGGCGTCACTGACCTGGATCATTACCACCAACCCCAGACTGTCTTGTCTCATTACGCACACCTGGTTCCCATTCCCCCTGAATAGTATGTGTGTATATATGTGCCCTCTGTTCCCCATTGTCCTTGTCGATTATTGTCCCATGTCCGTTGGTCTCGTGAGTACCGTGTACTGTGCTCCTGTTATTACGGTTCTCGTCCCGTGTATTGTTTAGAGGTCTACACCTCGCTCTTTTGTTTGTGTTACATCCCTGTGATATATATATATACATGTTTGTTTTGGGCTTCGACCCCGTCGTTTTTCATGACGTACGTTGTGTTGGGTGGAATACCCCTGTCCCTCCCGGAGCGCTTCGATGGCGCGCCAGCGAGATGCAAGGGATTCCTTCTGCAATGCGACCTGTAACTCGCTCTCTACACCGAGGCTGTCTCCGGGAAAGACAGGGTTGCCACAGTCATCTCGGCACTGACCGGAAGGGCCCTGGACTGGGGTGCCGCGGTCTGGGAAACGGGCGGCCCCGAGGCCGAGTCCTACGAGCGCTTCACCCTCCTCTTCCGCTCGGTGTTTGATCATCCTGTGGAGGGCCGAGAGGGGGGTGAGCGTCTACTCCGACTATGCCAGGGATCTAGGACCGCCTCAGAGTTTGCCCTGGAGTTCCGGACCATCGCGGCCTCCACCGGATAGAACGAGTCGGCTCTGGTCACCGTTTTCCGCAGCGGACTGCAGGAGGAGGTACAGAAGGAGTTAGCCTGCCGTGATGACAACCTGTCACTCAACCAGCTCATCAGCATGGCGATCCGGTTGGACAACCTCCTGCGGTCCCGACGAAGACATGCGCGGAATCCGGAGCCCATGGCTACACCTCCTCCGTGGCCAGACCCGATGGAGGTGGGCTCTGCACATTTGCCCGAGGCAGAGCGTAGGAGAGGAAGGAATCTGGGACTCTGCTCCTATTGTGGAGAAAGGGGTAATTTCTCCCCGACCTGCCCTTTATCCACTAATAGGTGAGGAGGTGACAAGCCAGGGAATTCCCCTGCTTTAACCCAGGTAGGATGCAAGATCTCCTCTCCTTTTCTGTCAACTCAACCAGTGTGTTTTTCCATTAAATGCCCTGAATACCCTAGCCCCTCACTCCCGTTAGCGCTGATTGATTTCGGAGCTGCCGGGAATCTTTTAGATAGCGCACTGGCCACTGCATTACGCATTCCTTTGGTTCCCCTACAGTCACCCATTCCCCTACCTGGATAATCGTCCAATAGGGACAGGGCTCGTACATCACCGCTGTTCCCGTTTCTCTGCTGACCCATGACAATCATTTAGAACAGATCACCTTTTTGATTATAGACACCTCCATGCACCCAATTGTTTTAGCAAGAAAGAAAGTTTATTTATATAGCACAATTCATACATCGAAGCAATTCAATGTGCTTTACAAAGATGTTTATCAAAAATAATGAAAACATCATAATAATAAAAATACAAAATATATATATATATATTATTTTTTTTTTAAATGGGATGAAAACATAGGAAGCTATAAGGCTAAACAGTGTGGTTAAGTTTAAGTGCTCAGTCGTAGGCACATGAAAAGAGAAGTGTTTTTAACCTGGATTTAAAAATTGATACGTTTGGGGCACATCTAAGATTTTCTGGTAGTTTATTCCAGTTGTGTACAGCATAAGTGCTAAACGCAGCTTCTCCATGTTTAGTTTGGGCTCTAGGCTCTACTAGCTGACCTGTGTTCATGGATCTAAGAGCCCTGCTCGATTTATATTCTTCAAACATATCAGACATGTACTCGGGTCCTAAACCATTCAAAGATTTATAAACTAAAAGCACCACTTTGAAATCAATTATGTAACTGACTGGAAGCCAATGTAAAGATTTAAGAACCGGAGTGATGTGCTCCGTTCTCTTGGTCCTGGTTAACATTCTAGCATTCTGAATGAACTTTAGGTCTCCCCTGGTTGAGTTGGCATAACCCTATTATTTCCTGGTCTGAGAGGAGACTGCTGGGCTGGTCGCAGGAGTGTCAGGGGAGGTGTCTCGAGGTGTCTGTCAACACCACTACAGTGGAAAGTCCGGACCACGCCACTCAAGTGGATTTACTGGAGGAATACCAGGATCTGCACTGGGTTTTCTCTAAGAGCGAGTTTACACGCCTGCCTCCTTATCGCCCCTGGGACTGTGCCATTGACTTGCTGTCTGACGCAGCCCTCCCGAGAGGACACGTCTATCCAATCTCCTATGCGGAGACCGAGGCCATGGAGACCTACGTACAGGAGAGCCTCCAGCAGGGGTTTATCCACCCCGCTACATCACCAGCCTCCTCAAGCTTTTTTTTTGTTAAGAAGAAAGATTCAACCATGAAGGCCTGATTCACACAGTCCCCTCTGAACAGTTGATGTTGAGATGTGTCTGTGAACTCTGTGAAGCATTAATTTGGGCTGCAATTTCGGAGGCTGGTAACTCTAATGAATTTATCCTCTCTAGCAGAGGCAAATCTGGGTCTTCCATTCCTGTGGCGGTCCTCATGAGAGCCAGTTTCATCATAACGCTTGATGGTTTTTGTGACTGCACTTGAAGAAACTTTCAAAGTTCTTGAAATGTTCCGTATTGACCGACCTTCATGTCTTAAAGGAATGATGGACTGTTGTTTCTCTTTGCTTATTTCAGATGTTCTTGCCATAATATGGACTTGGTATTTTACCAAATAGGGCTATCTTCTGTATACCCCCCCTACTTGGTCACAACACAACAGATTGGCTCAAACACATAAAGAAGAAGTAAATAAATTCCACAAATTAACTTTTAACAAGGCACACCTGTTAATTGAAATGCATTCCAGGCATCCTCATGAAGCTGGTTGAGAGAATGCCAAGAGTGTGCAAAGCTGTCATCAAGGCAAAGGGTGGCTATTTGAAGAATCCCAAATATGAAATATATTTTGATTTGTTTAACACTTTTTTGGTTACTACATGATTCCATATGTGTTATTTCATAGTTTTGATGTCTTCACTATTACTCTACAATGTAGAAAATAGTAAAAAATAAAAACCCTTGAATGAGTAGGTGTGTGTGTGTGTGTGTGTGTGTGTGCGCACGAGACCGCAGAGGGATTATAATTAGTATGTTAGCACACAGGAAATCTCTCTAATTCAGGGGGTAAAAAAAGCTATTTTTACATCCTCCTTGTGTCCACAGGCAGAGACTAGACTTTTGCTTACTCATCTACTGTAGCTGTCAATATACAGCAAACACTGTATACACACATACACTAACCCTCTCTCACACAGATACCGGTATACAGCACTGTGCATAGTCTCGCACAAAAACATTATGCACGCACGCATAAACATAAATGCACACACACACACACACACACACTTACGATAATGGAGAATGTATTGTTCATACAAAATACATGACAGATAGACCGCTCATACACTAAATATACACTATATATATACACTATATAGACACTATACAGTCGGGGAAAAAAGTATTTAGTCAGCCACCAATTGTGCAAGTTCTCCCACTTAAAAAGATGAGAGAGGCCTGTAATTTTCATCATAGGTACACGTCAACTATGACAGACAAATTGAGGAAAAAAAATCTAGAAAATCACATTGTAGGATTTTTAATGAATTTATTTGCAAATTATGGTGGAAAATAAGTATTTGGTCACCTACAAACAAGCAAGATTTCTGGCTCTCACAGACCTGTAACTTCTTCTTTAAGAGGCTCCTCTGTCCTCCACTCGTTACCTGTATTAATGGCACCTGTTTGAACTTGTTATCAGTATAAAAGACACCTGTCCACAACCTCAAACAGTCACACTCCAAACTCCACTATGGCCAAGACCAAAGAGCTGTCAAAGGACACCAGAAACAAAATTGTAGACCTGCACAAGGCTGGGAAGACTGAATCTGCAATAGGTAAGCAGCTTGGTTTGAAGAAATCAACTGTGGGAGCAATTATTATGAAATGGAAGACATACAAGACCACTGATAATCTCCCTCGATCTGGGGCTCCACGCAAGATCTCACCCCGTGGGGTCAAAATGATCACAAGAACGGTGAGCAAAAATCCCAGAACCACACGGGGGGACCTAGTGAATGACCTGCAGAGAGCTGGGACCAAAGTAACAAAGCCTACCATCAGTAACACACTACGCCGCCAGGGACTCAAATCCTGCTGTGCCAGACGTGTCCCCCTGCTTAAGCCAGTACATGTCCAGGCCCATCTGAAGTTTGCTAGAGTGCATTTGGTTGATCCAGAAGAGGATTGGGAGAATGTCATATGGTCAGATGAAACCAAAATATAACTTTTTGGTAAAAACTCAACTCGTCGTGTTTGGAGGACAAAGAATGCTGAGTTGCATCCAAAGAACACCATACCTACTGTGAAGCATGGGGGTGGAAACATCATGCTTTGGGGCTGTTTTTCTGCAAAGGGACCAGGACGACTGATCCGTGTAAAGGAAAGAATGAATGGGGCCATGTATCGTGAGATTTTGATTGAAAACCTCCTTCCATCAGCAAGGGCATTGAAGATGAAACGTGCCTGGGTCCTTCAGCATGACAATGATCCCAAACACACCACCCGGGCAACGAAGGAGTGGCTTCGTAAGAAGCATTTCAAGGTCCTGGAGTGGCCTAGCCAGTCTCCAGATCTCAACCCCATAGAAAATCTTTGGAGGGAGTTGAAAGTCCGTGTTGCCCAGCGACAGCCCCAAAACATCACTGCTCTAGAGGAGATCTGCATGGAGGAATGGGCCAAAATACCAGCAACAGTGTGTGAAAACCTTGTGAAGACTTACAGAAAACATTTGACCTGTGCCGTTGCCAACAAAGGGTATATAACAAAGTATTGAGAAACTTTTGTTATTGACCAAATACTTATTTTCCACCATAATTTGCAAATAAATTCATTACAAATCCTACAATGTGATTTTCTGGATTATTTTTTCTCAATTTGTCTGTCATAGTTGACGTGTACCTATGATGAAAATTACAGGCCTCTCTCATCTTTTTAAGTGGGAGAACTTGCACAATTGGTGGCTGACTAAATACTTTTTTCCCCCACTGTATATACAAACGTATGTGGACACCCTTTCAAATTAGTGGATTTGGTTATTTCAGCCACACCTGTTGCTGACAGGTGTGTAGAATTGAGCACACAGCCATGCAATCTCCATAGACAAACAGTGGCAGTAGAATGGCCTTCCTGAAATGCTCAATGACTTTCAACGTGGCACCGTCATAGGATGTCACCTTTCCAACAAGTCAGTTCGTCAAATTTCTGCCCTGCTAAAGCTGCCCCGGTCAACTGTAAGTGCTCTTATTGTGAAGTGGAAACGTCTAGAAGCAACAATGGCTTAGCCGCGAAGTGGTAGGCCAAACAAGCTCACAGAACAGGACCGCTGAAGAGTGTAGTGAGTAAAAATCATCTGTCCTCGGTTGCAACACTCACTACCGATTTCCAAACTACCTCTGGAAGCAACATCAGCACATAAACTGTTCGTCGGGAGCTTCATAAAATGGGTTTCCATGGCTGACCAGCCGCACACAAGCCTAAGATCACCATGCGCAATGCCAAACGTCGGCTGGAGTGGTGTTAAGCTCGCCGCCATTGGACTCTGGAGCAGTGGAAACACGTTCTCTGGAGTGATGAATCACGCTTCACCATCTGACAGTCTGACGGACGAATCTGGGTTTGGCGGATGCCAGGAGAACTCTACCTGCCCCAATGCATAGTGCCAACTGTAAAGTTTGGTGGAGGAAGAATAATGGTCTGGGGCTGTTTTTCATGGTTCGGGCTAGGCCCCTTAGCTCCAGTGAAGGGAAATCTTAACGCTACAGCATACAATGACATTCTAGACGATTCTGTGCTTCCAACTTTGTGGCAACAGTTTGGGGAAGGCCCTTTCCTGTTTCAGCATGACAATGCCCCCATGCACAAAGCGAGGTCCATACAGAAATAGTTTGTCGAGATCGGTGTGGAGGAACTTGACTGGCCAGCACAGAGACCTGACCTCAACCCCATGGAACACCTTTGGGATTAATTGAAATGCAGACTGCAAGCCAGGCCTAATCGCCCAACATCGGTGACCAACCTCACTAATGCTCTTGTGGCTGAATGGAAGCAAGTCCCTGCAGCAATGTTCCAACATCTAGTGGAAAGTCTTCCCAGAAGAGTGGAGGCTGTTATAGCAGCAAAGGGGGGACCAACTCCATATTAATGCCCATGATTTTGGAATTAGATGTTCGACGAGCAGGTGTTCACATACTTTTGGTAATGTAGAGATCTCATCTCTGTCTAGTCCACATCACACACAATACAGTATAGAGAGTTGTAATGGTCAGCGTGTCTCTAGTGCTGCCTGAGATCACCATAGCAATCAATAATGATTCAATTTCCTGCACAAAAGCCTCTCTGTACCCCTCCCCCATCCCCACTACCATTCTACCCCAAGCTGTGTCTCACACATGACCTCTAACACACACATGCAGACATTTTGTATGTAAGATGACTGACACTCAACAATGAGATAACATCATGATTTTCTCAAAGCGATGCTAAACAGAAGCAATTGCACAGAGAGAGAGCAGAAGGAGAGACAGAGAGAGAGAGAGCAGAAGGAGAGACAGAGAGAGAGAGAGAAAGAGAGAGAGAAAAAGAGAGAGAGAGAGACAGAGAGAGAGAGAGAGAGAAAGAGAGAGAGAGAGAGACACAGAGAGAGAGAGAGAGAGAGAGAGAGAGAGAGAGAGAGAGAGAGAGAGAGAGAGAGAGAGAGAGAGAGAGAGAGAGAGAGAGAAAGTATGGGCATTTCATAAGACAAATGGAGAAGTGTACTGTATAGCTGTTTAGCTGAGTGAGTGGAGGGTGGAGGAAGGGGGTGGCTCCACATTTCATCTTTACTATCTCCAGCAGCACAAAGAGAGGGGCAGTCAGTCAGTCGCTTCAGTCTGCAGCACTGCAGCCCTCCATCTGTCTCTGTCACCAAGAAGACCGGTGTCTCCATCCATAACACTCTTTATCACCAGAGAAATCACTGTCCTCAACCCTTACTATCGCTCCACGGTAACCGGTGTCTCTGTCATCAGAGAAATGCATACCCTCACTTACGCATATCCCTCTCCAGGGCAACCTCTGTCTCTTACTGTGACCCCCTGCCTGTGTGTGTGTGTGTGTGTGTGTGTGTGTGTGTGAGAGAGAGAGAGGTGAAGGAGCATTCTAGTCTTACCTTGCTGCTGAGTGCTGTATGAGAGAGAGAGGGGGAGACAGTCTCTGTGGTCCCAGCTGTGTGAAGATGCCACTCACTCAGGGAGAGCGAGACAGCAGCCCACTTCAGCTTCAGCCTGACGTCCCGTTAAACAGAACGGGCATCCACTAGCTCTGCTAGCCGGCACACGCATACACATACACGCACAGGAGAGAGGGAGGAGAAACCACTGTCAGGTAGGACACAGATGTGAGGACATGAAAGAGGTTATTGTCTGAAAATAAGGTATGTATCTCCATTCCATTCCTCCTCATTCCTCTCTTGTCCTCCCCTCTCCCCCCTCCCTTTCCCTCTTCTCTCTCGCTCCCTCTCTGTCACACACACTGTTTTCTCTGGTGTTTCTCCCCTCAGTAGACAGACAAAGAAAGGGAAGGAATGGCAGAGAGGAAGAGAGAGTGAGGATGGCCCTGCCCCCTTTGACCAGCCAGTCGGATTTCATTTATTTTTGCCTTCCTCTCTCTGGCCCCACCCCTAACGCCTCATCTCCTCTCCTATTCCAGCCCCATCCAACATGACTGATTCCTCTCTACCTCACTCCTTCTCTCACTCTCTCTCCCACTTACTCTCTCTCTCTCCACATGTCTGCTACTCACTCTTTGTCTCTCTCTCTCCCTCACTCAATGTGTCCTGTATCCTTGGCAACAAATGATATGATGTTGAAGTAGGAAGTTTACATACACCTTAGACAAATACATTTAAACTCAGTTTTTCACAATTCCTGACATTTAATCCTAGTAAATATTCCCTGTCTTACATTTTTTACATTTTAGTCATTTTAGCAGACGCTCTTATCCAGAGTGACTTACAGTTAGTGAGTGCATACATTTTCATACCGGCCCCCCGTGGGATGCGAACCCACAACCCTGGTATTGCAAGCGCCATGCTCTACCAACTGAGCTACAGGGGACTTAGGTCAGTTAGGATCACCACTTTATTTTAAGAATGTGAAATGTCAGAATAATTGCTTTTATTTATTTCATCACAGTCCTAGTGGGTCAGAAGTTTACATACACGCAATTGGTATTTGGTAGCATTGCCTTTAAATTGTTTAACTTGGGTAAAACGTTTTGGGTAGCCTTCCACAAGCTTCCCACAATAAGTTGGGTAAATTTTGGCCCATTCCTCCTGACAGAGCTGGTGTAACAGTCAGGTTTGTAGGCCTCCTTGCTCGCACACGCTTTTTCAGTTCTGCCCACAACTTTTCTATAGGATTGAAGTCAGGGCGTTGTGATGGCCACTCCAATACCTTGACTTTGTTGTCCTTAAGCCATTTTGCCACAACTTTGGAAGTATGCTTGGGGTCATTGTCCATTTGGAAGACCCATTTGCGACCAAGCTTTAACTTCCTGACTGATGTCTTGAGATGTTGCTTCAATATATCCACACAATTTTCCTTCCTCATGATGCCATCTATTTTGTGAAGTGCACCAGTCCCTCCTGCAGCAAAGCACCCCCACAGCATGATGCTGCCACCCACGTGCTTCACGGTTGGGATGGTGTTCTTCGGCTTTCAAGCGTTCCCCTTTTTCCTCCAAACATAACGATGGTCATTATGGCCAAACAGTTCTATTTTTGTTTTATCAGACCAGAGGACATTTCTCCATAAAGTACGATCTTTCTCCCCATGTGCAGTTGCAAACCGTAGTCTGGCTTTTTTATGGCAGTTTTGGAGCAGTGGCTTCTTCCTTGCTGAGCGGCCTTTAAGGTTATGTCGATATAGGACTATTTTTACTGTGGATATCGATACCTTTGTACCTGTTTCCTCCAGCATCTTCACAAGGTCCTTTGCTGTTGTTCTGGGATTGATTTACACTTTTCGCACCAAAGTACGTTAATCTCTAGGAGACAGAACGCGTCTCCTTCCTGAGCGGTATGACGGCTGCATGGTCCCATGGTGTTTATACTTGCGTACTATTGTTTGTACAGATGAACGTGGTACCTTCAGGCGTTTGAAAATTGCTCCCAAGGATGAACCAGACCTGTGGAGGTCTACAATTATTTTTCGGAGGTCTTGGCTGATTTCTTTATATTTTCCCATGATGTCAAGCAAAGAGGCATTGCAATTGAAGGTAGGCCTTAAAATACATCCACAGGGACACCTCCAATTGACTCAAATGATGTCAATTAGCTTATCAGAAGCTTCTAACGCCATTACTTATTTTTCTGGAATTTTCCAAGCTGTTTAAAGGCACAGTCAACTTAGTGTATGTAAACTTCTGACCCACTGGAATTGTGATACAGTGAATTATATGTGAAATAATCTGTCTGTAAACAATTGTTGGAAAAATTACTTGTGTCATGCACAAAGTAGGTGTCCTAACCGACTTGCCAAAACAATAGTTTGTTAACAAGAATTTTGTGGAGTGGTTGAAAAACGTGTTTTAATGACTCCAACCTAAGTGTATGCAAACTTCTGACTTCAACTGTATTACCCCAGAGCCAAGAGCAAGACTCTGCCTTACAGAGACACCTTTCCTTCACTGTGTGCGTGTTGTGTGTGTGTGAGGGCTGCACCTGACTATCTGCATCCCCCTGCTATGTGTGTGTGTGTGTGTACATTTGTGTATGTTTGTGTGTTTGTGCATGCATACACCAGCTTGTAAGGAAATTAAAGCATAAGGAAGTTTAGTATCACCTCTGGCGACTGACTTGTTTTTCAATTAGCGTGTGGATTTGAGTGCAGAGGGAGTGTGATTGTGCATCTCTCTCTCTCTCTCTCTCTCTCTCTCTCTCTCTCTCTCTCTCTCTCTCTGTCTCTCTCTGTCTCTCTCTGACTGTGTGTATGTGTGTATGAATGGCCCTTAAGATATATGAGTGTCAATGTTATTATGACATTCCCATTATTATTACCCATTAATTAGTTCAGATGCTGTTATGTTGTGTTATGTGGGTTGTGTTATGTGGGGTTGTGTTATGTGGGTTGTGTTATGTTGGTTGTGTGAAGGGAAAAACTTCTAAAATCTGTTATTAATTGCATCTCTTTTTAACATCTGCTTTGGAAAGAGGATAAGTCGCCTCTAAACTGTGATGTGGGCCTTTAGATGTTCAAAAAGAATTGAAGATCCCCCGCTGCTGCACATCTTAAAAACAAGAAGCCCTGCTTCTCCACTGACTTATTATTCAATCACTCTCCTAAACCAGTTACATTCCTTTACTCTTAGTCAATTTCTCCTCATCCTCTATCTTTTCCCTCTCCTCCTTTCCTTCCTTCCTTCCTATCTCCTCTCTCAAGTCAGGGGGTGAGACTCCCCCTACCACTCCTCCAGAATGAATTTATACTCCACAGGAAGTAACTAACCTCTCCAGACTAGCAGACATGTTGGCCTCAGCCATGGGGCCATGGTGCAGAACAACACCGTGCACAATAGACATCTGCCAATGGAAGTCATATGCTTACAATTCTCCCATTTTAGTTGCCTCAATAGACAATAGTCTCAAAGTTAGCAAAAATGTTGAGGTTAGAGCAAAATGTCTTTGCACTGTCAAACCCTGGCTTTCAACTTTTCTGAAAATGACTCAAGAACAGTAGTGTCCCTCAACCAAAGAGGCCGAGACAACTGATTCCAATACAGCAATACTCCTCACCCTGTTACTCTACACTGACACACTGAACAATGTGTTTGCATCAGCCAGCTGGTGGCATAGTAACCCAATGCAGATGTGCATCCCTCTGTGTGGGTGAACATGGTGGAGCCTCTACAATCAGTGCAGGAATCACAATGATACTATCTTATTGGGGATGGGCTGCACCACCACACCAGACCTGGCTCTGATAACATCTAGACAAATATAAACAAATAAAAACAGAAAGAGAGAGCTGGGAGAGCTTTCACTTCTCAGTACTTAGGGTTGCAAAATTCTGGTAACTTTCTCAAATTGCCCAGGTTTTCCAGAAATCCTGGTTGTAGGATTTCATGCTGATCGGGAATCTTCCAACTGGGATTTCTGGAAAACCTGGGCAATTTGAGAAAGTTACCAGAATTTTGCATATTTTTATATTTGTCTAGATGTTATCAGAGCCAGGTCTGGTGTGGTGGTGCAGCCCATCCCCCATATAAGATAGTATCATTGTGATTCCTGCACTGATTGTAGAGGCTCCGCCATGTTCACCCACACAGAGGGATGCACATCTGCATTGGGTTACTATGCCACCAGCTGGCTGATGCAAACACATTGTTCAGTGTGTCAGTGTAGAGTAACAGGAATGCTGTTTTGGAATCAGTTGTCTCGGCCTCTTTGGGGGACACTACTGTTCTTGAGTCATTTTCAGAAAATTTACTGAAATCTTGCACGCCTACTTCTCAGTCAGACCTGTAATACACAACTAGACCTGTAATACACAACTAGACCTGTAATACACAACTACACAAATCAGCCTGGAATACAGACTGACGGGGTAGCAAACAGACAAACGGACACATACACCCTCAACACCACACACACAGGCTAACAGGCACAAACACTGATGTGTATGTAGCCAACTGTAGGTAATCCATGTGTGTCAGAAAATGTAAAGTGACCTGAGTTGACACAAAGCAGAAAGCATGAGATTAACACAAATTGTTTTTCTAAAAATAACTTTATACACCCCCACAGCTCTGCTCTCCGTCCCCTTCTCTCCCACATCTACCTTCTCCTTCTCTCCAAAATGGAGGCTTCTCTCTCTGTATGCTCCAGAAAGCACAGACCTCAGAGGGGTACTGGAATGTACCACTGCAGGCTTGGAACAGGGGGGATGGAGGGGGGCGTCTTTTTTACCAACAGACCAGGTGGCAACAACACCAACAGACCAGGTGGCATTTTCAAAGACGACAACAGTGAAGGAGTGTGTGTGTGGTTGTGTGTTAGTGAGTGTGTCAGTGTGTGTGTGTGCGTTAACGTGTGTCAGAGAAAGTGTGTCTGGGCGAGTATATACAGAGGGCTGGTTGTCATGGTGATCATCACTAGGAACATGCATTGGCAGGGCAAGCACTGTATGATCTGTGACACTGCAGGGGGGTGGAGGGGCTGGGACCTCAGACAGCCGTCACACTGACCCCTCACCCCTGACCTCTAACCCCAGCCTACTGCTGAGCCTCTTATAACAAAGACAAACATTTACCACTAAATTCCTCCAATGAAACTCACACACACACACACACACACACACAAATCTGACCACGTGGAACCTATTTGGGAGGAAATGAAAACAGACAGCTGGTGTGTGTGCTGAACATTAACCTCATAATAGAATCAGCATGGTCAAGTGGTTGGGTGCACTGGTTGGTGACCAGTGGTGGACCACAGAAGAAACACATCCTGATGCCCAGAGTGTGTGTGTTAGTGTGTTAGTATCCACATGGGTGTGTTGTTGTGATTTAGCGAGGGGAAACAAGGCTGTTCTTTACTCATTCTATTTGCAGCCACCAGAGGAGAGTGAGTCACTGTACTGTATAAATACTGCACTAAATGTGGGTCAACAATACCCGGCCATTTTTAGCACAAGGAAGACCCCAGTGTCTTTAGCCCACTACCAGGCTCCCTGTTTGGGCTCTGCACACTAGGAAAACCCCTGGCAAGCTTGAATCTAAAAGGCCTGCATTGTCATTAAACTTCTGAACAATACACTGGGTCTATCCAATTCATTTTAACTCCATAACATATTTTAGCAATAAACTGGCAAGCAGCACTCCCTATCAGAAAGCTTTCTATTGACACAATGTTCATCACTACCTACACAAGGTCACTCGGTGCAATCATTGGACTGCCTCCAGCACGGGAATATAAGGTTATTATCTCTGTTTTACTACCGTGTCACAGAAACCAAACAGACCAAAAACGGTGTTGCTGTAAAGTACAAGTCAAAGCATGAGTCTAAACAGAGGCTTAGAGACCAACACTACTAAAAAACAGGATCACAAATCAGCTGACTGTGTTTATGTACAGTGTGTGTGTGAGTGTGTGAGCATATGCATGTTTGTGTGTGTGCATGTGTGTGTGTGTGTGCATGCTTGTGTGTGTGCATGCTTGTGCACTGCATAACTGTGCTGCACAATCTGCAGACAGACAGAATACAGTATGTACACATTAAGCTACAGTTTGTGCATTGTGCCGTAGTCAGATACCAACACAGACTTACAGACGTGTCCTAACACACACGCACGATATATGTACCATAACAATATTTGCAAAAATGCGTACACAATTGCACACCTACTGTACAGACACATAAAGGGACAGACACACACACACACACACACACACACACACAAGCAAGCAAGCACGCAAATACACTTTTCTTGTTTTACCTGTATTTCCTTTGTTTTCACCCCTTGGCTCCTCTCCTCCACTCCTCTCCTCCTCTCCCCTTTTCTCTTTCCTCCTCCGTGTCTCCCCCAATCCTCTCCTCTTTCTCTCTTCTCTTTCCTCTTCTCCTGGTTTCCTCTCCTCTCTGATGCTCAGGCTCTAACACTAGACTGATCCACGTGCAGAGACCGGAGGGGCGGGGCCCCACACCGCCATTTAATTCACACCAGCAAATGAGGAAGGAGGGTCTCCTGTCAATCATCCTACACTAAAAAGAGGAGGGGACAAAGAGAGTGTGGGCGAGTTCGTTTTGCATTGCCGGGTGCCCCGGGTGGGCGAAGTTTGTTCATTTTAGACCATTCCATTGGTTCTTAACTGAAATCTCCACCCACCCGGGGCACCGGGGCATGCAAAACGAACTTCACAAATGAAAGATAGAGGGGGTGTCTCTCTCTCTCTGTGTGTGTGTGTTTGGAATAAAGCCAACAGAACTAGAAGCTATTTTTAAACCACCACACTGAGGTAGCAAAGACTCTATTTTCTCTCTGGCAGATATTCCCCAAATCATACAGCATCCTCCATACTCAGTAATGGCAACTGTAAAGCTTTCCATCAATTGATTTATTTAAATCAATAGTTATGAACTTGCCCTCTAAGCAATGCTCCTACTATCCCCTTACTGTATTCAAATGTTAGAATCAGTTGTATTGTGCTCCAATCAGGGGGACTAACTCTCTCCTTCATTACTGTATGAGACAAGCACTTTACATTTTAGTAATTTAGCAGACGTTATTATCCAGAGCGACTTACAGTACTGAGTGCATACATTTTAATACTTTTTCATACTGGTCCATCGTTGGAATCAAACCCACAACCCTGTTGTTGCAAGCACAATGCTCTACCAACTGAGCCACACGGGACCCCTTTTTTCACATGCCCTGAATCTTGTCTCGAATACTGCATGAGCTCACAAAACCTTGAGTGTAAAAGTGCCACAAAATATAATAATATATAATATGCCATTTAGCAGACACTTTTATCCAAAGCGACTTACAGTCATGTGTGCATACATTTTTATGTATGGGTGGTCCCGGGGATCGAACCCACTACCCTGGCGTTACAAGCGCCGTGCTCTACCAATTGAGCTTCAGAGGACCACGAGAGAGATTAGCATTAAAGTGCACAAGAGAGCATTAAAGTGCCATGGAAAGCTAAATACTGGGACTTCAATTATGTCAGCGGGTAAGACATTACATGTGTCTCGATAAATCATTTGCAGACAATATATTGGAGGAATATAGAGTCATATTGGCAAAGTAGGATGCTGCACAGACTGTCCTCTGATGGCTGTGTAAAAATGTATGTCTGTGTGATTAATCAGGACTCAGGAGAGAGGTGATTATGTGCGTGGCTCTGGCAGACAGACATTCGAATGAGGGATGACCAATGAGTCGTAGAGGACGGCTGACCAGGCCACCAGCACTGGACCCACAGGACGTCAGGTAACTGCTACATGGTCCGGGGGAGGCGGGGCAGGGGGCATTGGGTTTATGTGGGGAGGGTCTTGGCTACGTGACTCACAGCCCATACCCACTAGAGCTGCCTCTCACTGGCCCCTTCTCCTCACCTCACCCATAATCAACCAATACACCAGAGACACAGAGAGAGTAAGAGCAGTGGATAGACACATACCATCTGAAGGACAGAGAGAGAGAGAGAGGGAGAGTCAGTGAAAAACACAGAAGGAGCTAGAGAGAGGAGAGAGAGAGAGAGAGGGAGAGTCAGTGAAAAACACAGAAGGAGCTAGAGAGAGGACAGAGAGAGAGAGAGCAGATTCCGATGAGTCCAGCGGACTCCCCTTAGCAACAGCCCCAATGCTGTCTCTACCCTATTGGCCAGCCATCTGCTTACAGCACAACCCCAAGTGGCCATATCAGCCAATCAGCAGGCCTTGCCGCAGAGCTGGATTCCATTTTCACCATGGAAACTGAACATTACACTCTCCATGTGTGAGTCGTGTAACATGGACCCTCACCCCGGCGCTCACACAGCTTGAATGTTATGTGTCCCTTTCGACCACTGGGGCA